ACAAAGCCTAATCTTACATGTCATCTTTGTCTTTGGTTGTTGTTTCTCTTGGGGAGGATGACTGGTTGAGGTTGTTCAAATTTGCCATCTCATCTCATCTCATCTTACCCTTCTTTCTCCCGTCCGTCCTTTTTGTGCCCTATCCGTTTCCTTGCCCTTGCCCTGCCATGCCCTTTCGCCCGTTGCTAAAATAATGTAATCAATGTCATTGGGGACGACGTCCCCACAACCCATACATACTACTCTGCCTTACCCTACCCTACTTAACTGTCCCCACTTTTTTTAGGCTGAGCCGGCTGACGTCCCCACTCTCTTGCTCCTTCCTCCTCCTACCCATATCCTTGCTTTACTTGCCTAGACTGCTTTCTATCAGTCGTTTGGTCAATAGGAGGGGGTGGGGGGGTGCCCCTTGTTATCCCGCGATTTTCCTTTTAGTGGGCCCGATGGACGAAAGATGGGGATCCTGGTAAGGATGTTTAGAAAGGGCCGAGTTGAGAGCGGAGGGTGTGGCTCCGTAGCCAAATAGGAAAGATATGAGAAGCTGAGGTAGAAGGGTTAGAAGGGGAGCGGCGGGAAGGAGGTGGTCATATGTCGGGTAGGGCAGAGACAGAGAGAGAGAGAGACAAAAAACGTATGAGAAGTGGGCTGTTTTTTTTTCTCTTGGGCTTCCCCTTCCTACTCACCGACTAGAAAGATGAGAAGTGTGGTTCTACATTGATAGACTCGGGATCAGTCAGATCCGAATGACGGGCCTGCACCTTCCCCCCCCCCTCCCCTCTTCCTTCTTCTTGTCCTCTTTCTTTCTGGTAAAGGTAAGCGAGATAGCCAGATGGCGAGAAAGAGAGATAGAGAGAGAGATAGATGCAAAGAGAAGTCGGTGTACACCTCACACGCACATGTACATACTCACTGAATATGTAAAAGTCCTCTATCCATACACCGCAAGCAACCAAGCAAGCACCTAGTCCCCCTTCCTTCCTCTCCCCAAACCACACCATCCATGTATAATCCATACCCACAGACACCCCAACACCTCGCAGCCACCCGCTCTCTCTCTCTCCCCTAGTCAAAAGCACACACGGCCAATCCTCGCTCACTCACTCGCAAAAAAAAACAAGATAAAGAGAAGCAGCGAACAAGGATCGGACAGCCGTGGTCCGCTCTCACATGCACTTCCCCCTTCGCTACCACCCGCGCCCCCTCCCCATCCCTACATCCCCTTCCCGGAACCACTCCGGGGCTGCTTGTTCGGCTAAGGCGTATGGCGTTGCCAAAGTGCATCGGTTGGGGGGGGAAGGAGGGTGTGGGCGTTGTTGCAAGGCAAGGCAAGTAAGTAAGGTATCTAACGGCCGTATTGATAGAGTTTTTGTTTTTTGAAAGTGGGTCTTTTGTAGGGAAGGGGGTGTCGGATGAGGGGTGCTGATGGGTTGCAAGTGGGCAGGGGAAGTGGGTAGGTACTTAGAGTAGGTAGGCGAGGTAGGTGGAGGGATGATGGCTGTGTGTTTGGTAGGTTGTATGTACTAGGTGGTGGTCTTGCGGGAAGGGATGGAAAAGTGGAGACGGTAGGAAGTGGGTTTTGAGGTGGTGTTCTTGTGATGACCTTTTTTTTGTAGATGGTGTTTTTTTATTCAATTCATTTCTTTTGTATACAATAATCTAATCTTTTTTTTTGAGGGACCGCACAACAACCTGTTTTTTCTCTCGTCTTCTTTCACGTCACTGGAATCAATGAAAAATCAGGATTGTCTGGTTACATAACAGATTTTGTTGGAGGCATGAATTCAAAGTACTTCAATACTAGATTGAGTTGCATAGATGTGATTATGGGTTATAGTCGAATACACATATTCAGCTACAAAACCCCCCTTCCCTTCCCCTGCTTAGGAACTCGTTCTCCGCGTCAGCCCTGACACCCCCCTCCTTCTCATCGCGGTCCAAATACGAGAACAAGCGCACACGCACTGTGGATACCACTTAATAATTACCTGTATTTGTGCTCGTGCCATGCCCCTCCCCAACCTCCACTTCCCGGCGTATGTGTGAGTGATACGGGAGATGCCGTTTATACGAAGGCTTTTTTTTCCGCCTAGGGTGGGGAACGATATGTGATTGTTCCCCCGTGTTTTTTATGGATCAGGGAGGGGGGAGTGAGACGGGAGATGCCGGGGGTGGCTGGTTGGTGTGCTGTGCTGTGCGGGTGAGTATGTATGGAAGGATGGATCGAAGGGAGGGGAGGGGAGGTGGCTGGGTTGGATTGGGTGGATAGATGAAGGGAGAGATAGGAAGGGGGTGTGGGTTATGCGGTGACATGGTAGGTCTGGGGTTGTTAGGGATTATATTTGGGGGCGTTCGTGGGAGATTTGGGGGTGTGGTATATGTCTTCGTTTTATGCATGTGTGGGTAATGATGAGATTGATATGATAGGAGTGTGAATTGTCAGTGGGCTTCACAAATGCATCGTCTCAGTGAAGAAAAATTATGGGATATGGATCATGGAATAACGACACAAGTCACTAGCATAAATCAATGCATCCGAAGATGACAACGCAGTCACTCTCTTTTCTTCCCGTCACTCCGGAATTCAGGGTCTTGTTTGATCGTCCACTTTCGCCGTTGCAAGAATGATTACAGTGGAGACGACAAGACCTGCACTTCCATGAACTATTCATCTATCTGGAAAAAAAGAGAAGAGAAAGAAAAAAAGGAAACTACCAAGTCTGCCGAACTACTTAGAACGGCGAATAAGGAAACAAACTTCTGGGATCCTACAGGCTGGAATAAGCAGAGTTTCGAAACATGCACAGGTTTAGCCCCGGAATACAGGCCGAAATCTTCATCGGCGATAAGTAAAACAGTAGTAGGTAGAGCGTATGGAATGACTCTGGGTACTATTATTTGTCAACTGTAGTTGTTATTGTTAGTATTTGCATTTGCATCTGCATTACTGGTGTTGGCATCGGCGGCATCGGTGGTATGGCACCGTCAGTATGGCATCATTATCATTAGCATGGCATCGTTAGATGTGGCACCGTTAGCATCGTCAGAATCATTAGCACCATCATCATAATTGTCGTCGTCATCAGCATAATCTTATCACAATCATCATCATTATCATCATCACCAGGAGTCTCAATCTGGTGTTCCGACATCTAAAACTCACCCTCACTCCCCAGTCTTATCGACAACCGCGGGCCCTCGTATCAACCCAAAGTCCGACCATTTACCGCACTTCGGGTCATCTGTCGTGAGCAACGGTCCGCACCGTAACACTGTCGGGTCATGCACTTCACATACATGACGGGGCCCAAAGTTTGGATAAACCAGCGTCACCAGGCCGTGTCCAAGTGTATCAAGGAGCGAAAGCATCTAGTAATGAAAACTCCCCAAAAAAATATCCGGCATGACGTGCCAATACGACGGGAATGCACGTGAGCGCACTCGCAGACGCTGCCCCCGAGGGCGTAGCAGGGTGGTCCTTGCCGCTCAATATGTGCAACGGGCTTGCATCCACTACTGCCCGTACGCACGTCCTCTCTGACATGCTGCTCGGTGTGGGATGTGAAGCGGCTACGGCCTACCCTCCGTTTCCATCCTGTCAGCATTTTTTAGACTTTGTCCCCCAGAAGCTAGGGAAGGGGGAGGAAGGGATCAGAGGCCGAAGCACGATCGATCGTCATTTCCTTTGTAGCATATCATTGTCTCGACTGGAAGCGTCGTGAAATGTTAAACCCACGTGGCGAGCGACGATTACTACAAAAGGGAAACAGGGACATGAATTGCCACCTTTGAGCGAGCGAGACTAGGCTCAAGAGTATATCCGTGTGGGTGATCTTCATGAAACTGGCTGTATGTATGTAAAGTTGAACCCTGGTACGGGCAGTTCCGTACATGTGTGATTGTGCCGGATTCTTTTGCCGACAGCCTTACGGCATGAGCTTCTAGACACATATGAATGCAGCAGCCTGCAGATACGGAGAGATTTCGCTCCCTGAAACAAGATTTGTGCTTGCCCATTTGCAACATGGACGAGCGTCTGGGACAGGCGGCCTCGGTGTGGCGGATTCCGCTCGACAAAATTCGGACTATTCTACTATGCATGTGTTACGCGCCTTTGGACGAACAAGCGATGCAGTAATACTCGAAGCGATGCAGTAAAACACGTAACGAAGTGGCCAAAAGAGTAAATATGCCGACACGGTCACGTGTTGATGTATGGCGCATGGAGTACATTGCTCCGTACCTGACGCATTGTGTAATCTGTATTCTATGGCGAAACTGGTAGACACGTCTACTTTTGGACATTGCCACGTTGATGAGAAGCTCCGATGGCTTCTATTGGAGTCGCAAATCCTACTATGGGAAGCAAGGTTTGCACCACGGCCATGTCTAACGCACGTCATTCCGTACAACATTGCGCACCCAGCTCAACCCCAAAAAGGCCCAGAAGCAGCGTGGAGACAAAGAGAAAGAGAAGGAGAGATACACATGGCAGATCTTCGGAATGCGCGCAATGGCTAGGGTTTGGGTGACCTGAAACACAGTTGGCGCAACCTGGTGGCAGCTCGTTCACATTGCCTGTCGTGAAGGATTTTTGAGGAAGTAGGAGCGATTGAAGATTGCGGAGTTGATGCCGACGCATGTCATACGTAAGGGTCAGCGGAGGGCGGGAGGCTGAGCAAGACATTTTGGGAGAGCCGGCTAGTGAAACTGTTGAGTGTGCGCAAGTGGGCAGAGTAGGCTGATTGTTACAAGCTGACCAAGGTGACAGATTGTTTGGGAATATCATGGTGGAGTGGGAGGCCCCGCAAAGGGTCTTTTGCTAGTCGTCTGCACGAGTCATAAAGTTTGCAAATGCAGTATCTCTTGCTTGTCGATGTCGTGAAACTAATCTACGCTCACGAACGGAGGTGGGCAAGCCACGGGTGTTGGTCCGGATCGACGAGATATTTACGGATGCACGGTGGCGGTTTGCTGGAGAATCCATGGCGTTTCTAGGGAATCTATTGGGGCACTAAACGGACAGCAAGGTCCATCAAGATGCCCATGACAGGTGGGAAATAGAGTTCAGGGACTTGCCAATGTGCTTGAGGTCGGGAGCGGAGGACGCTGCAGCGCCGTTTGCGGAGCGAAAAGGTTTCCGTGAATATTCGGATTTGAACCGAGAATTTGTGTAACTCTGGACAGGAAACGGGGCCATCAGGGTCAACGGCGTGAGGTAGGGTAACGTCGGGAGGATGAAAACATGGCAATTCACAATGTTGGCATGAAGAGAAGAAGCGCCAAAAGAGGTCGCAATGCCTTTCTAGAAGACGTGTCGCGCCGCTTTTGTCACTCTACCAATATCCAGAGTTTGACGGGCAGGGAGGTCGACGTTTCCTCTACGCAGGGCCAAAATAGCCCCTGGGGGGGCGGGTTTGTGGTGGAATCGAAACTCTGGAGAATTGAAAAAATGCAGGTTATCTGGAGGTGGGTAGGACTCTAGACACGGTTCCCGCACTTGGGGTGTGAACTACAGGTGGGCGGGCCGGACCCTCCGCGGAGGACGGGCGAATAAGAGAATGGCCGAAATGGGACCGGACCAAGAAGACGAGTTTCTGTGAGCCCTGGCGACATGTTCAGCGTGTTCAACGTGTGAGGGTGGGTTAGTGCAAGCTTAGGAGAAATGATGCGTGGTAGGAGCCGGATCTCCGTGATCGTCCAGGGACCTTTTACGGCCAATGTCGATCATGACCCATCATGTGCTTGGTCCAAAGGAGGTTGCCGATTTACAAAGATTGGTTTCAACGCAAGGGGGTAACCTGGCACGGCGAATCAAGACGCGTGTGGCGCCAAGCAGCGCGCTATCAGTCAATAGAACAGGCCCGCAGAAGACTGCTCGGTAAGACTGGCAACCGAAAAAGGCTCAGTCGAGGGTGGCAGCACTTCGACATGAGCCGAGTTTGTGAATATCGGAGGGAAGATGAAGCGAACACGAGCATAAAGGGGGAGGAGAGCTGACGCTACGGATGGAGGCGCATGCATCTACCAAACTCTTGGGGTGGAGGGTAGGGTCTTAGTCTTGAGCAGCGGTGAGGCAATTGCGCTGCACGAGTGCAGATTGACAGCTAGACAGAGATGGAGGGCGATTGCGAGAACGCGGTGTGTGCGTGCAGACGGGCGCTCGTGTTGGCATCGAGTAGTCGGGCCAAATTTGTGCAACATGTTGCATAGTAGCGTCATAGCAGCAGGTGTATGTAGGTAGAGTACCATGTGTGCGACTGAATTGGGTATGGCGCGTGACAAGCCAACTAATACTACTACTGCTGTCTTGTTAGCGTGTACGGGGGGGGCAGTTGAGAAGTTCAGATGCTGATCGCAGCCGAGTTTGGGCGAGGCGGGCAAGTCAAAGTCAGATTGCGAGCCAGCTGGAGCCCTTCTGTCAGTAGCAATCCGGGGCAAGCGAGACGGTAGCAGAACATCTGGTCATGGCAGCGAAGAGGCAGCGTGATAGGCGTCGTGGGAGGGTCGATGGGTGGATGGGTTTGGGGGGAGGGGTGGGTTGGAGGGGCTAGATGATGGAGGCGACGGGGCTTCTGAGTGGCCGCGAGGTGCGATGTGACTTGTTGAAACACGAACGATGCAAGGAGAAGCTAATGGGGACAGAGTGGCCCCCGTCCCCGTCTGTTCGCGCCCCAAAAGTCGAGGGCGGACTGTGTGATCAACGATGGAGAGTGAACGTGCTGGCAATTTGAGCATGTTCACGGCTGGTGTATAGACCAGTATATATTATATGGCCGAAGGGGTATAAATTGCTTTTGTTAAGAGCTTGTGGGAGCAGCGTTGATCCTGGCTTGCAGCCGTGTCGCACGAGAGCCGGCGCGTGTTGCATTTGGCGCGCGTCTTTTGGCGAAGAACTGGAGATTGCATGTAGAGAGGGTAGTGACGACGATGGTGGTGGTGGTGGTGGTAGCATTAGGAGAGAATGGTGTGTAGTACAGAGCACATCAGCTAGTGCCGTGTAGGAAAGGGTCTGCGTGCTGGGGGTGAAACAGAAGGAGAATTTGCCAGTGGAGCCGAGCGAGTGGCAACGAGGCGTCGTGTGCGTGTGTGGTACCTGTCAGCGCGTGAAAAGGCGAAGAGCGAGACGCGATTCGTGGCGGGCGCAGGCGGCCAAGGCGGCGCTGAAAGGATTGCGTTCCTGACTACTGGCACAGGGTGGGTGGGATGTGGGATGAGGTCGAGATCGAGGTCGAGGTCGAGGTCGAGGCCGGCCGTGGCAGCCATGACAGCCAGCTTCGCCCTCTTGAACTTAGCTCGACGATGGTGGTGGAGAGGGCACGACTGGGGATAGGATAGGGTGGACAGGGATGGCGGTTGTGTGTGGATGGAAAACAGAGTAATGTTTTGTCACGGTTTGTGTGCGCACTAGTCGTGCGTCTTTTGCAGAAGCAGTAGCATCATCAGCAGCAGCATCATCATCATCATCACCATCGTGGGCCATGCGCATGAATCAGCCACAGTGCCGTCATTGCCCAGCCCCGCTTGCAGTGGGCTGTTTGACGTAGGGTAGTTGCAGTTGCACATGGAAGTAGGATCAGACGCGGTACATTACATATGTACATGTAAGTGTGAGTGAGTGTGTGTATTATAGCATGTATAATTGCACAGGTGTATGTATGTACTATGCATGAACGGATTCAATATACACGTGTACATACATACATACATACATACATACTACTACATCTACATGCTACATCGATAGCACAGTACCATGCGTATCGACGAGCTGCCAGTGCCAGTGCCAGTGCCAATGCCGATGCCAATGCTCTTCGCACTCTACTACTCTTCCCCACACCGCCATGGCAACACATGTTTCCAGGGTCGCGAAAAAGGCCCAGCTGCAAATCCCGTGCACAGACGGCGATCACCAAGTTCGCAGAGGGCGTGCTGGCTGGGCAGTCGACTGGCTGCTTAAACGGGCGTGTGATGCATGTGCATGATTCACTCCAGGATGCCCTGTCTGTGCGCGCTAGTCCGCTTGTGGACGTCACTTGACCCGGCCGCCCAAAGCGTGCACATCCTTCATGCCAATCCCAACCTCACCCTCGTCATCCACCACGCGCCCTCTGCCAAGCCGCTGCGGGTGATGCGCCGCCAGTCCAAGGTTCACGCCTCCCACCAGCCCGGTGCACCGCCGGCCTGCCTGGTGCCGCCAAAAGCCCAACCGCCAGAGCAGCACACCGACACCACTCGCCCGCTCCAGCGTCGCCCACAGGCACACCCGCCCGTGGCCTCGTCGCCTGCCCTCCTAGACGACCTCGTCGCTCTGCTCTACTGCTGCTACTGCTACACCCACTGTTACTACACACTACTCTCGCTGGTCTACTACACTACTATCCACATCCCACTCTCCCCCTCCCCCCCCAGCCAGCCAGCCCCGCCAACCACGCGCAACTGTGTGAAACATGGTAGCGCACCGTCCCGGATCCGCGAGCTTCAGCCCAACCTGTGCCAGTGTCTGCGCCGCCCTGGGGCCACGCCTGCCAGCCCTGGCCTCGCTGTTCCGGCTGCATCCTGCTCTCTCTCCCTCACTCTCTCGCACGCTCTTGGCCACCTCCGCACCAGGTGCTCTTAAGCGCACTCTCGCTGTGCCTCTTCTCACGCGCGTGTGCTGTCGCTTGCTGCCCCTCTGGCGCCCTTGATCCGACGTCGGCCCTTGTTATACGCCGGCCGACGTCGGCCCCCCCCCCTTCCCTCGTCCCTCGTCCCCCCTTCTCATCCTCACCCGCGCCCATGTCTATTTCCTCTCCGACGGCCGTTTCTGCGAGCCCACCAGGGCCTCAGCGCTGCCGCATGGCCAGAGTTTCGCGACCTGCCTCACCAGCGGCCGCCGTCCAGGAACGTGAAGCTTACGCTGCCCTAACGCCAGGCCCGGCAGCTGCGGAGTCATGGCACACTAGCCTAGCATCGCCCATGGATGGGCAGTGGGCGCCCGTGGGCTCTGCTAGGTCAATCAACAGGCGGTGGGCGCGCCGCCGTGGCCTCGACGACGGTGCATCCGGACTGTTCCTAGAGTACTGGTCTGGTGCTGCTGCGACCACGACGGCTACACACGTCCTAGTCGTCGTCTTGCCTGTTGATCGCCTCATGGGCCAGAACCAGAACCCGCAAACTGGCGGCCGCCCCAGAACAGCCCACCCCAGCAGGGCTGCCTCAGGTCGAGTCTGTCCGTCCAGGGACTAGCTGCATCCTCAGCAGGGGCGATCGCTGCGCTACTGTGCCCATCAACTGTCGGCCACCCCAACCGGGCTAACCTAACCCCTCCGCCCCCCCTCCCCTCCCTCGAAGCGACCAGTCCTGTCGTATGCGTCTCATGGCTGCCGGGTACATGCCATTCCCTCCCCCAAGCAGGCACGTTGTCACGTAGTGCCCTTCGTACTTGCCCCGTCCCAGTCGTGCATATGCCCTCACGCTTGACTTGCCCCATGCACTTAGAGTCATTGCCAGGGCGAGCCATTTGTCTCCGACCGCCTTCATCCCGGCTGTCATGAGTGAGATAGCGTCGTTCTCGTTAGGAGCCATGTCCTGGTCCGCTGGCTGATTCCGCCGTTGCTGCTATTCCCTCTTCTCCCTATTATCGTACTGGGGCCCTGCCAACCCTGATCATACTAGTAGCTTCGCAATTCGCCGACGCATCAATATAACTCCCAAATATACATCGACTCGTTCCCTGGACCACCTACTGGTACCTCCTCTCGCCGCCGACCTATATACCCCATATCGGTGTTTGCCATTTTATTTCTTGCTACGCTTAGACGTGCGCCTCACACCTCTACATTTACCACCCTGTGGCCTCGAGATCTATCCAAACAAATTCCTGGCCATTCATCCTGTTTCCCTACTTGCTGCTTCTGCAACGACGACGACCACCACCACCAAACCACCAACATCCTCAACCCATCTGCCCCCCCACCCACGACAACATCATCACACCCTCAACTTCGGGCATAGACACACAAACGCACTTGCCCCACTTGTGTCTTCTGCTCACCTCTGCAACCGTTCCTCTTGCAAACACACGCTTCGCCCTCCTTTTGCGCTGTGCGATCTTGATCCCCTCTTTTGTTTTCCCTTGCCCGCTTCCATCACACGTGAGTATGGCCTTTTTGTTGGAGAACGACTTGACATGGATTTTCCAATGCTGACCTGAATAGCTTCCTTTCCAGGCTATATCCAGTTGCTCAGGATTTTTGTTTTTTTGGCTTCCGATTGAAGATTCTCTCATGTGATTTCGGTCACTATACACGCCTACAACCGTATCTTCGACCCATCTGGATCATTAGTCTTCCAATCAACATCTCCAACTCAAACCAAAACATTTTGCTCATTACCGCAAACAAACAAAAAACCCACTTTCCCCATGTTGCAGGGTATCCGGGCATCCACTTTGACAATGCCTTCGTTCGGACATGACATGTCCCTCGGCGGCGTGCCAAAGGTGGATGGATACAACGACGCCGACTCATGGTCTTGGCCCCAACAACCAACCACCAACCAAACCCCATACCCAAGCATGTTTGAGTCCTCAATGTACACGGGCTTCACACCTCAGATGCAACAGACAGCGCGTCAACCTCCACGCCACCAGTCGATTGCTTCATCTCGTGTGGTTTCAACCGCAGCGAGCACACCACCTCCCCCCAGGCCTCAGGTCGCAGGCAGCATGGTTAAAGCTCAACCCGCCTTCAAGCCCACATGGCACGGTTTCCTCGATACCACCAAAGATGCCATGACTGTAGTCGAGGCCGCACTTCAGGGCCGTCTTAGCCACATAAGCCGCCGACCCCATGACAAGGAGCGCGCCGAGATGCTCACTTCGGGAACTGTCTTGGTCTACGAGGAGAATGCGTCTGGCATCAAGCGCTGGACCGATGCTGTTCACTGGTCACCCAGCCGCGTCATGAACAACTGTCTCATTTATCGCCAACTTGTACGAGCACTCAAGCCCGAGGAGAAGAAGTCTGCGCTAAACCCCTCGTGCGGCTCAAAGAGGAAGCGAAAGGAAAGCAGCGGTCCTGTACGATCAAAGACTGGCGAGATGCTCGAAAACTCCGAGGACGAATACGAGAACCAATCCTTTGACCCTTCGCTTGCTGGCGAAGCCGACCCGATGAACAAGGTCTACGCAAACTTTGCCCAAAGCCTGACACCCGACCAGCAACGGCGATTCTGTGGCTCCCTCATCGACAGCTATGAGTTCAAGGAGGGTGGCTTGATGAAGAAGACCATTTCAGTCAAGTACCAAGGCACCCACCACCACGTCATTTCCTACTACAGTCTTGAGGACGTCGTCAGCGGCAAACTCAAGCGACCGTTTCAGGACCCCAAGCTAGCCGATATCCAACCTAGGCCTGAACTCCTCAGTGGATGGAAGGTCAGTCTTGAAGATGAGGAAAGCAAGGACATGCCCCTCATCACCGGTTACCCACACCACATCCAGCCGAGCCATGTTCAACACCATGTGCTCGGAGCCGTAACACAGGCACTTGGAGCCCAGGGAGTGATGCAAACACATGCTCCCCTCCACCTGGGCGTTCCTGAATACTGGCACGGATCCCAATACACATCAACTCACAACAGCCCGCAACACTATGGTGCCTCGCAGTCTGCTCATCAATACCCAGTCCAGCAGCCCTCGCCTCAAACATACCCAGGTCAGCAGCACTATGCCGCTCATCCTCCATCTCCTCAACAATTCTCATCGCCCCACCCGGCTCCTTCATCGCACTACCCCTCGCAGTCTACTCGGCACTACTCGTACGATCACCCATCAGCCGCACCACCCACCTCCTACTCTCACCATGGACCCACTTCGCAATACCAAGCCCCACAGCCAACCTCATACGCTATGGCCCAGCCCGGCACTTTTGAACCCCAAGCCATCACAGCCCAGAGCTCCCCGGCATCACAACAGCCAAGCCAGATTCCAGTTTCCCAGGCGAGTCAAGGTAGAAGGTCCTCGGCTCCCATTGCTCTCCAACCACTGCCCCAAACGCAGTATCCCTCGGCTCCTCACCCTCACTCGTACTACGTCACGGATGAAAAGTATGTTCCCGAGGAAAAGTACAATGCGAGCGCGCACCCTGGCTACTAAGCCCCAACGTCCATCTTGGAGGCGATTCAGACGGCTCCCGAGGTGACCTTTTTGCGATTTGCTACATTCTCCTACGATATTACCAAGCATACACGAGACATTCATGGTGGATGATTTGAATGCGATACCCCCCTCGGCGCTTCTTCCCTTGGCGAAGGCGATAACTATTCCTACTCGAGCATTCTTGGACTTTGGTTGGCACTACGCGGTAACATTTTTCTTATCAACGGTCTGCATATATCCTTTGATTCCACGTACGGTTATGGGCTTTTCGAACTTTTTTCTTAAAAATTGGGCCGTACTCTATGCTGTTGAGAGCACTACAGGTGTTTTTTGCTATACAAATTGACTTTGGTTTTTTGAACCCATTCAAAAATGGCTGATTTTCTGGTAATAGCGTCTGGCTCTATGCTGTGTAATTTCTATATCCCCCTCTTGGTTTATCTGATCAGGCATATATGTCTGTATAGCATTTTTTGCTTCTTCATCTACCATCACCAACATACCCTTGTACAATTATCACCCAATCTGATGGCACCTACCTTAATCTATTTCCAACCACTCACCCCCCATGGCTGGTTCTTTTATTTCTTTTGTCTTCTTTTCTAGAGTAGCAAGGAACCCCTACAAGCCAATTTGCGCATACAAAAAAATCTAGATATATCAATCATGTTTTTTGGGGTACCACTATTCTTCCTGTCCACTCTCTCTGTCTGTGTCTCCACCCCCTAGAATCCCTCAATCCCACCTCGTGCACGCACAAAGACACATACAACGTCACTACTCCTGCTACGTACGACTAAGAAATCTCACCTCACCTCATCACTACTCGCCCACAGACACAAATGCCCTTCACATTCACACTCCGTGCGCAACGCACGGCTCCCGCGGCATATCCCCCTCGCAAAAACAACCGCAAAGTAATCTCGCGCCCCATAAGGCTGAACACGAACACACATCCGACACGGTGCTTGCTGACCACCCTCCCCATCCCATTAGCAGCACCCCAAGCAACGGGCGCGCACATACTCACAAAGCCGACTTAAGCCACCCCTCCCCCCCCCCCACATGCATCCCATAACCTTCATACTCCACTCTCCGTGTCTGATGAGACCCAGCTTTTGACATGGGTAAGGTAAGTAAAGTGAAGTGTTACAAGGGGGAGAGGGGGAAAGCAGAGACAAGAAAAAAAGTGGAGAAAAGAAAAGAGTGGAGTCGGGGAGAGTGGGGACTTGTTGCGGTAATGTTCGGGCTTTGTCGGCAGTAATTCTTTTTGGTTCAGTGGGTTTTGGGTGCAATGGAGAAGGACCGATCGGAGGGTAGGATGGGGTTGAGGTAGGTAAGATGCATGAGCGGGTGGACGGACGGACGGGCGAAGAAGGGGGGGGGGTGCGTGGGTGTGATAAGGGGGAGTTAGGGTAGTAGGGGATTTGTTGGTATGCTAAAGGGAAAGGGAAAGGGAAGGATACAGAGAGTGCAAAGCGATGTACTCGCGATGCTTGTAATGCTCGTTCAGATGGGTGTTTGATGCAAAGCGCTGGCGCGCGCGCGCGGACGTTCGCTTACGAGCTTTTGGTGTGGGGCGCGAAGAAAGCGGTCGTTTGTTCGCTCCGACCTTGTGGAGATCCCTCTCTCTCTCTCTCTCTCTCTCTGTCTCTCTTACTATCGCTACTCATTTTGCTACTTTACTTGACTCCACTAGTCCAAGAAATATTTTTGTGTGGGAAAATGTGGTAGTAGCTACGGTAGTTCTTTTCCTCCTCTTTCGTCGTTGTTGTCGTCATTGTCTTTTTTTTTCTGCTTACCAAAGGGAGAGATTCTCGGGTGGTTCGTTTGCGAGTGGGCGGGAGGGGAGATGGGCGGCTGGGCGGCCGAAGTGCAGAGTGCGGTGTGTGCGGGTGAGATGGGCGCGGGTCGGCAGTTGTAGAGAGGTAAGGTTGAGGGGGGGGGCATGGGATCGAGTCGATTGGGGAGGTTTTGATCTCTCTGCGGGAAGAGGGAGGTTGGTTCGTGTTTGCGCAATGCGTAGGGCTGATACTTCGAAGTTAAGATATTGAGATTTGATTTTTTGCCATGTTGTGGTTGCAGTTCATGATGCTAGAGTTGGGCGCGCGGAGAAATGCTCATCCAACCCCGTCCCTCCCCCTTGAATCTCATTCACATGTTCGCAATGTCATGTGAGCACGACGGCTTTCACGGTCTTACTTGTGTATAAATTGTTTGTGCTATTAATTTATTAGAGGACACAATTGATGAGAGAGTTTTTACGTTATGAAATTGAGGTGCTTTCTAGACGTGAGGAATTGTGGTGAGGTATTGACGTGATCGTAAGCCTCCGTTATGTCTTTTGCAATCTACTAGCCCATTCTGCATTTGGATGCATAACGAAGAGTAGGGACTACGAATGTTATAGACGCACTATGCGTTTTGAGACAGCCTGTACAATAGCCCCACACCTTCTGCTTGCCCCATCGCTAGACCATACCGGCAGATCACAAATCATGTACACAGAACATGTCAGCTTTTCCTAAAATTGCAGAGACGAGACTCTTGCTTTCTCCCTTTTTTCCTAATCCCTATATACGCCGTCTCCTATGGAAATAAGACCTGTATATTGCTGGCCCACTTTTTACTTACATACACGCAATGCATAACCAGGCACATATTCTCCCCCCTTTCGCTAGTATCAATCTGACACAACCGCTGGTAAGCCTGCAAGGAGAAGAAGAAGAAGCCAAGGGGAGAACACGAAACAAAAAAACAAGGAAAAACGGCAGCCACACCCGCAAACACCGAGCGAACCAGCGATCAAGAAGAAGCAAAAAGATTCCAGAGCCTCATTGTAGCTCCACCAAACCATGGTTCGCCTTACATAGCCACTAGCAGAACATCGGTAGTCATGACGCTCGAAACCCACACTTGCCCGCCCACGGCCACATGAAGCCGTGTACGTATCCACACGTATCCACATGATGTTATCCCCTTTTCTCCTACTATACCGGTACATGTTATGACGAGTATACATCGGGCCGTACTATACAATTTTCCCATGTCATACCCGCCCTTCTTTTTTGTCGCCTGTCCGCGTAAAACACATAACACATATGTAGCATGACGTGGCGACCCCATGCGCGAAAAAAACCACGGTTGACAAAGACGTGGTGGTCTAGATTGCGGTGAGCTTCACCGCGTTTCTGGGACGTTGGCGCCATCATTATTGTTGCATAGGCAAGTGCAGATGTGGTAGGATGGATTGGGGGAGTGGGCCGGGGGTGGCGGACCGGGGAACGGGCGGAATCATCGCGCAGTGGGGAGATGCGATGGTGTGAGATGGCTGTTGGGTGGTGCCTTTTTTTGTGCATAGCTGGGGGTGGGTGTTTTCTGCTCTGCATCTTGGTAGTTGTGGATTAGTGGTTGGTCTTGGTTTCCGGTCTTGGTTCCCGGTCTATCCGGTCTGATTTGGAAGGGAAGGAGGAAGGGGGAGAAGATGAGGCGAGATGCATGGTCTAGATGGATGTGAGGGGAAGCTGCCTTGGCCCGTGTCTCGTTTCTCATGTCTTTACGTTGTTGGGTGAGGTCTAGAGTCTTGATTAGAAATGCTGTGTATAAACGCTAAGACTAGGGGGGAGGTTACGCAAATAGAATGACAGTGGGTTGCTTCTTGTTCTAGTTTTGAGAGCTTATGAAGTGCGTAGGTTGCCGAAGATAATGAAGTAGGCTCTGTTGGATGCTGTCTAGACACGCCGTTCATAGCTGTCTTTGACATCTATGTTATGTCTTCCTTCAATGAAAGCTTCTTCGTTCATTCTCATGTCGGTACTAGTCTTCGGGCGTAAGGAGTTTAGCGTTCTTGGAGGCGGCACTAACTACTTGTATCCGCTTTTGTAGACTTATCCTCATTGCGTTGTCTCCTGAATAGTATCGCTCTTGGGGGATTCTTTTGAAGAGGGTAACTGACGGTTGCTCATGACTGATGTGATCGGATTTGAGATAGGCCACGACGATAGTAGAACGCTTCATGCCGCCCTAGCTCGTTAGCATTGCCGTTTTTGTTCAGCACTGACGACATCGATGTGCTATTTGACTTTGCTAATATAGACGAAAAGATAGAGGATGGTGGAAAGGTTTCTCCGTCGAATCATATAGAGATATTGGACTGTCAAATATATCCTGAATACAGCTGGAGTGGTGGGAGGAAGTGGGTAGATATATCTATGCTAGCTGATATTAACTTTAAAAATCATTGAAGCTGTCTAATTGCTACTAGAATGAGTGACGTAGTGCTTTAGTGCAGTATTGACACTTTATTCTGAGTTGACTGCGTCATGCAATCCAGAACGACTATAGGTGAGCAGTAGGGACCGTTTTTAGTTCTGACTACCTACAAAAGTTTCCGTCCAAGTGCGGAGATATACAGCCCTGCATTAGTGTAAGTTAAAAAAAACTACGACATGTAGCTTTTCATGAGGAAGCTAATGTATGATGCATAATTTTTTGTCCGAAATCGTTCCCGTAGTTGATGTTTCTAGAGCGGCTAAAGAACTTGAAGGCTCCGCGGAGACACTTCTGTATCAAGGAAATTTGGATCGGGGCTGCACTATACTTTTGGCAGAAGGTTTTACATTTCAGGAAGGACAGGAAATCAGAATGCCATGTCTAGATGTTTATAGTATGCTTGAGGCTAAAAAGAGATAGATTGAGTCTGGGCAGTGTGGGTTTTGATGACCTCAACCAGTCCGGGAGCTACCAACTGTATCCCACAATGAGCTTGAAGGAAACTAATAACTCTGTGAGAGATTTGGATGACTCCTTTTGCTAAAGGGCTATTGATCACTTGAGCTGCATTTCAGTCCCGTTGATGGAGACAGAAGTTGTGATTATGAAAGTGGTATTAACATTGGCATATATGACAATCATAAATTAATTCTTTTATGCAAAGAACTTTTGAAATTCCCAAAGGAAAGGAAATCGATGTTCAGCGATATTCGCATCACTGTCTATACATTGCAGCATGGTCGAGGGAGATATAGGAAATATTGAGGCATGCAACATGCACTTGCGTAGACTATCAAATGCAAAGATTTTCTGCGCTGATAATTCGCCTGTAGCGAGCGAGCTGTTGGATCCTGTGTTACCAGTTTGGCTCTATGGCAACACCCTATCCTCGCATACCAACGGCCGCCAGAATAACCGTTGGATTGCTCGATCGATGCCCATTCCTGCATACATGCATTGTAAAACTCAATCGATTGTCCTCATTTAATTAAGGCCTTTTGCATTGACAAGTGCACAACCTCGTGAAATGAGTACCTTGGTGTATGCACGATGTGCTGTTCAATTAGGACTCCCATTCGTAATTTTACACTTTCTGATAGACATAAACTATAAATCTGCTTCTGGATGCCTTGGAATCACTAAAAGTCCCTGCATTTCACCTCGAAACAGATTAAGGTTGCGGTGTAAGTAAGGTTTGGACTGCATCCTTATGTCTACTAATATAGGATGCGATTGCGCACGGGCCGCTAGTTATGGTGACGCCCACCGTCATTTTGGCATGTAGCTACACACAATGCTCACGCAATCGATTTCACTTTCCAGGGACAGCTGGCTGACCGCCATCACCACCACCAGTGCATTCAGATACCTCCGCGGAAAGTTCAAGATAGGGACACCTTTGACAGCAAAGACAGTTGCTTGGATGCTGAATGAAAAGTATACCGATCGAACATGCACGCCAGATCTGGGATTCTCGTACCCAGTATACTTCAATGCGAATGCGATGGACATGTACCCCGCACGCCGTCCAAGTACAACCGCGTACGTGCAGGCCAAGCGTATCACACCCCCCTCAACCCCTCACAATCAAACCTCCGATGAAGAGACAGTGCACGAGAATCCGAGGCGCCGAGATCTGCAGCGACGGGGGGAAGGCAGCAATCGGTCGGCGCTGCTACCGAGAGCTCAGCTCTTGAACGGGGAGACGCGAAGGCTCAATAGCTTGTGACGCCGAGGCAAAGGTGCGCCCATGTCCTGCAACGCCAGTCGCGCGACGCACACACACTGGAAATGGTCTGGGAAGCCACAAGCGACGATATCTTAGTTCGCAACATCGAGGCAGTCATGATGCCATGCCATGTGGATGCATTCATGATTGCATTGCAGAGGCAACGATCAAATGACGCTGTGGCGGACAAAGGATGGGACTATTGCTAATTGTGTGCGTACCAAGGCGTCCCAGTCCAGGCCCCTGGGGCGAACCCAAGCAACACTAACTTAAATGCACGCCATCACCGAGCCCGCCTTTCCCCCCCCCTCCCACCTGCAACCCTGAAATGCAGATCATGGCATGATGCGTGGGGCGCCGCCTAGTTTAGTGGCTTGAACAGAGGGAAAGAATAGCCAGCAGTGACCCTGCGCAAGCCGGAGTAGTCTCCTAGCCTAACAGCCTTCATCCTAGAGTAACAAACGGACGGGCGGGTTGTCCGACTTGAGTCAACTAACGATTGTGACTAGCAACGCCACAGGGCTCTCCCTTCTCCCCAGGTGCAAGCGAACATGGGACCACCGCCACACTACTCGTACGCGAAAGACCCGACCTAGACCCTTGCCTCCATCCAACCATCCTTTTTCTTTTCAGCTGGCCGCTATTGCTTTGATAAGCACTTCTTACGAGCTGGGTGGGGGGAGCGGAAGCAATCTGACGACGAACAAAAAACGCCGCCGTGAACCGCACGCCGCGTGAGTTCCCTAGTACGAATGTACATGTACGTACGGTAAAGCTTTTCCCTTAGAAGCGCAACATCCGACACGAAATCTGCCCGAAAGCAGCGTTCACCATGTCTACTACATAAACCTAGACATGTGCTCACCTGTTCTCCATGCCGTTGTAATCCATGAGGGTTGTGGTGGGTGCAAGGCAGGGTTTTTTGCCAAACCCTTTCTCTTTCTCTCAACACTTACAACAGGGCCGGTCCAAGGTCACGTCTGCCGTGTGCCAAAAAAACATGGGCTAACCTAGTTGCATTTCTTGTCTTGCACGTGGGCCAAGAAGAATACGTGGGACAAGAAAAATAAGCTGCACATATAGTTCCTTGTTCTTTTGGTTAATTCCTCTCGGAAGACAAGGGAGTGTACAGCAAGGTTTTTGCTTGCGGTAAAACATACGAGAACATGACGACAACTGACGTGATTTGGAGTCTTGGTCGTCACAAATCCGCGTTTCAGAACAAGCACGACCAAGGGACGGGAAGAGGCGGGGAGACAAACATGCTTGTTCGGTATTGGAAGCCGAGCTTGTTTTGGGGGGAGAAGGGGAATAGGCTTGGTATGAGTTTTAAAATACCTGGATGATATCTGTCACGGTAATTACGAGGGGTTGCCGTTTTGGGTAAATCACAACATCGAGAGGATGGAGGAAAGTTAACGACACGCGTCTGACACCACATTTTTATCAAAAAGTGAAACTGAAGCGATACAGAAATTCCATGGCATCATATCAGGCCATTTTTTTCCATAGCAAAAACAATAGCTCTGCGTTTGTTGAGTTGCACGCAAAAACGCACGTATCTTTGTCCGATAGCACATATCAAGTCCAACATCAGCTTGCTGAGGTACGCATCAATCCGTATTATGATACATCCGTCCTAGTTTTTATGGCACATACGACCATCGGCGAAGTATCGAATTGGGTCTCGTTCGCTCCCCAGACATTAAACCTTCGACCGGCGGACTAGTAGTCAGGTGGGTGACCACTGGCGAATCCCCGCTGTTGTATGTTTTTGCCATTTTTTTTGGTTTGGAAATCGGAAAATAGAAATCTTAGCAAGAACACTTTTTTTCTCTTATGAATTTGATTCCTTTTCCTTGTAAAAGAGTTGAGTGGCATGTGTGCATAGTTCGTACTTACGTTCGTCTATGCATGGTACATCGGTATATGGCAAGTAAGAAGACCTCAAGTTGGGAAGAAAAGAAAAGAGACGCAAAGGAAAATAGTCTAGAATTCTTCATTTCTCCAATGCAACACTACGAATCTAAACAAAAGAAAGCTATGCACCCGCTGTAGCTCTAAGTGTTTTCTGTATGCAAGCACAAAGCTCTGGTATCCTAAACGGCTTGCTAATAACATTGTCCATGCCGGCCTTAAATGCCACCTCGACCTGCTCACTCCGCACGTTCGCCGTCACGGCAATGACTGGTACGTGAGCCCTTACTACGCCTTTGCTCTGTAGTTGGCGAATATTGCGAACGCAGGTTAGACCGTCCATGACGGGCATTTCCCAGTCCATCAGGATGAGCGAGAGAGGCTTGCCAGATCCGTCGGAGACGCAGTAGTCTGTTGTGTGAAGATGCTCGATGGCTTCGCCGCCGTGATTCGCAACTGTGACGTGCATGCCTGTGTTGCGAAGCTGTTTGGCGAGCACGCGTTGGTTGACGAGATTGTCTTCGACGATCAAAACATGGAGGTCCTTGTTCGGTATGTCTGTTGGGACGGTCTTGGTGTTGTGAGAATTGGTATTTTCAGTGGCTTCGTTGCGATTTCGGCTGGATAGCAATGTTTCTTGTGCGCGTAGACTCACGCTGACTGCAGCGTCGCTTTCACTTCGGCTGTAATTGGCACGAATACCACTCTTGCGGCTCTTTACGTAGAATGAGAATGTGCTGCCAACACTTGGTTTAGAGGCGAAGCCGATTGCGCCACCATGCATCTCGGATAGTCGCCGTGAGATGAAAAGACCGAGACCAGATCCACCTGAGATATATTAGCAGGGGGAAGTTAGTTGTCAGATTCAGGACTTACCATAGTCAATATGTGTGCGTGGCGATGCTTGGGAGAAGCGGGTGAAGAGGAGTTGGTGTTCTTCGTCACTCAGCCCACGGCCAGTATCTTGCACAGAGAATACGATGTAAACCTGTTGATGTTAGGAAATAAATCAAGCCACAGTATGTAAACCCTACAATATCACTCTTTTCCCAATCGGCCTGCAGTGTCTGCGCCTCTGAAGCTTCCGACGTACGCGAAAACGGCACTTTGCCGTGTTCACTATGGGTTGGACGCTCGAAAGTTACACCCAGACTAACACATATTTTCCGTATGGGTTCCAATCGCGTGAATTTGATTGCATTGGTAATGAGATTCTTCACAGTTAGCCAGTGCTTGTTTATTACTTGGCAACAACTTACGATGAGTATTTGCAAGACTCGTGTTGGATCGAGCGAAACCATTTGAATGTTACTGTTCTCGCAAGAATCTTCCATCAGGAACCGCAAATCCACGCCGGCTGACTTTGCCTCACCCTCAAACATCTTGACTGCATCTCTGGCGATGGACTCCAGTTGGACATCGACTGGTGTCATCACGAACAAACCCGAATCGAGTTTGGATATGGTGAGCACATCTAGACGAGTCAGCCAAACTGGCATGTTGAGAAAATTATATCTCAGACTGTTTCATACCATCAACAATGGTTTTCATATGCTTGGAACATTGAACAATCGTTTCGGCGGCGTCAATGGTTGTTTCCGAGATGTTTCGATAGACTTTTTGGTAATCCGGTGACTCGCCAAAAGCCCTATGAGTGGATATGATGCTCTACACGTTGCAATCAGTACCTTTGCCGTCTTCGCATAAAATCCTTACATACGTCGGCGCATTGAACAATTGCAGAGAGAGGGTTGCGCATCTCATGTCTGGGTTGAAGTCAGACGACACACACTTCTACAATGTAGCCACACCTTTGAGACTTACGAAGTAGTGTCAATAAAGTTCTCCAAGCTCCTATAAACACTATGTCAGGATAAAACTATCATTGGGTGAGGGCAAAAGTACCGCTTAGACTCTCGAGCTCTCTCTGCCTGGGTAGCTTGGAGCTTCTCACTCCACTTCTGTTGACTAGCAGTTGTAAGTACCCTTTTAGAAACCGCACCAGGGAGGCCAATACCTGATATCCGTACAACAACCAATCAACTCAATCACTGCGCCGTCGTCGTTAAGCTCAGGAAAAATTGATGTCAGGACCCACATAGGCTGTTCTTCGGACATTGTATCATCGAGACCCTGACTTGGTGCATTCCAGGTCTTCTTGAGACGCAGTTCGAAAGACCTAATCGATATGAGCTAGACGTTAACACAGGAAACGGGCATCTTACTGGTGCTCTTTGGTCTCCATAAGTTTCTTGAACTTGGCATGTCCTAGAGGAAGAAAGTCTTCGTCTACAATCTCGTCCCACGCTTCTTCAAGACTGACATCGCGACTCTTTGGGCTCAACATCTCAAACCAGGCATCATTTCTATACGAATAAACTCCATCCATATCGACAAGAAAAATACCAACGTCGGCACGCTCTGCAAAACGCCTGAACTTGGACAGATTACGCTCCGACTCCAGCTGGGATTGTGTCAGTTGCTGTCTGAGCTGATACTTCATCGCTTCGGCGGTGGCTATCGTTTGTTCCCGACGTCCAATGTCTTCTTCGTGAAGCAAGATTGATGTAAGAGATGTGGAAAGTAAGCGACTAGCAACCAAAATAAACTGATAATAGGTGTCATTGAAGGGTCTACGCGGATTCAGTCCCATAACTAGGAACCCAAGTATATTATCTCGCGAAGAAGTTGGGTTCAAGGGACAGATAGCCGCTGATTTGCAAGGATCTTCAAACCCCTGCCATTCGACACCATGAATAAGTTCTGCAGCGACAGGATCTTGGTCAAAGTGTACGATGATTGGTTTTCGAGCTGCAAGAGCCTGCCGGAAATACGGTGTGAATCCATGGTCCTGCTGGAAATCCAAGTGCTCTGGACAGGCTGGTGATCCTTTGGGGAGCCCAAAGGAGTCTCGAAGTTTGCAATGCTGTTGATTATTGTCGGAAAATCGAGTCCTACTTGATGTAGAGCCGCTGGTGTCAGCATCGGCAGAGTACAGAAGAACAAAGGGCATGTCCTTGTCGTTCCGTGACAAAACTTCGGTAGCAACGTTCCAGTAGGTATCGGAGTTTCGTGCGGTCGGAATCTCTTCACTCAATTCCAGAAGTGTACGTGAGCGTCTTTGCGTAACTACTTCTTTAGTCTGTGTGGGCATTAGTAGGCCTGTAAGAGGATAGATGAAATGGCCATATCTGTTCGCTTCCGTCCAAAGAGTTTAGGACAAAGTCTAATTTCTCGATCAAAGTCTTGTGAACCTAAAGTGGTGGTCTCAGATGAGTTCAGGAAAAACTGCTTCTTCAAGAACCCTAGGGAGGCCACAAAAAGCACGAAACATCTATAAAATGTAAAAACAGGGGGTTCAACGTACTGTTTCAACCAAAGGTTCATAATGGCCTACGGTAGCACCTGTGGAGTCCAATATTGGGATGAACTTCAACGAAAAGTACGTTTCTTCCATGTATCCATTGCGTACCATGTGAATCGCAGTGTTAGTTTTCTGAACAGTCTCTCCGGCCAGGTTCTTTTCAATAATTGGTTCAAAGTACTCACCCCAGACTGTGGAAAGTGCAACACGCGCACTTTCTCCCATGCATGGATGGAAGCCTCCTAGAAGGCCAATCTCAGCTTCGTTGTATATCATGATGAGGTCTGGCCCATAGAATATCACGGCGGGTTGCGGGTCCATCATGACCAAGTTGCAAAAGCTGCGCAGTTCAGACGACCAGGAACGCATTGGGCCCAGAGGGGTAGAGGACCAATCGATACTGCGCGCCCATGCCGCATGAGGAGACAGTCGGTCTGGAAATGTTTCTTCGTCTGTCCAGTCAAAATGCGATGGCTTTGCGTTAGAGATTTCTTTTGTGGGAGCCTTTGTGTTGGAGTTGCCGCTGTTCGCGCACACACTAACGCAGACACCGCTGATGACGTTCCAACGACTAGCGACCTGAACCTTTGTCCAGTCGAACCCAAGGTACGGAAACGACACCTTTGGCGCGTCTTGCTCCTGGCACCATTTTTGGTATGGGGTAAATGGCAGGTAGCCTTCCTCATGGTTGTTTTGCGCAATGACTTTGCGGCCTAGGAGTCGCAACAGGCCTTCAGGATTTGCAGTGGCCATGGCCGGATTCCAATAATCCAATACATATGGATTCAGACAGTCGGCATTCTCTGGTCTCGTGTCAATTACAAAGGTAGGGCGGGAGTCTTTGTGCAAAAGTTCCAGCATGCCTACGCGATGGAGTGGTGGTACATCATTTTTCGACGGTTTCAGAAGTACGGGGTCGCGTACAGGCGTGGCCATGATGTGCGTTCAACGCTGCATGGGACGTCTGGTCCTCGTGTTGGGCGGAAACTTTGCCCAGCCGGATAACGTGCTAAATGTCGTTGGTATTGAGGTAATGCGGGACAACCGTTGCTGTAGCTCGGAGTGTTTGGCAAAACAGCGCAGTTTCTCCAGGCGCCTGGCCTTGCCATGTGGGTCTTGTCCTAGACGCTTGTTGTTCCTAGCGCGCGTCCTGCGGCGACGATCGAAGATCATATTTTCCAGCAGGAACTCGAACAGGTTAATGCCATCAGGTATGTACAGGCAGTACACAACCACCGCGAGCTGTAAAGTTGCCAAATAGATACATGAGCGAACATGGAGTACGATACTTTGCTGACGTTAAACAGCAGTCATGTATCCGTGCACGGCACCATCTACCGACCTCACGGGTCCATCATAGACGATATAGCGGCATCGGCTGTCCCGCTATACCATCGCATTCATACTTCTACTTATACCGTATTCATACTGTACATATTTGTGGAACATTAACGGGTGAATAAAGATAGAATTAAAGAAATCGATGAAACTGCGCCACCCGGCAATGATCAGCAACCATAACCAGTAACACTTTATACACGAACATTAAGGCTTGTCGCTTGCATTCAGCCGCATTTGTTCGCTTGTTGATCGTTCTTGGAATCAGAACCCTAGCATTAGTTACCCAATTCTATTGATGCAAAAATCTCCTATAGGTTGATGAGGATATGCTTCCATCGGCCCCGTCTTAGCCATCCTTCCCGAATGGCTCTAGTTCCCATCAATCCATCATTTCTCCATATGGTCTGACATTAATATCAACAGATTGGAACAGAATATCTTTTGAGTAGTAACGGACTTGTTAGCGAACTTTGTTGCGCTTTCACGACAGTTTGTGCCATGAGACGACGAATCTCAAGCGGATTATTCGTCATTCTCTCCACCAAGATTCTAGATAAGAGGATTAAGAGCAAGACCTTGTTCTACATTACTAACAGGGTGATATGACCTACTAAATTTCTAATTGCGGTTATCTAATGGTTGTAGAGAAGTTGCGACTTTGATCATAGAACATCGAGAAAATATCAGAAGGGAGTGGTGGTATTAACAATGTGCTAATATGCTTAGTCAAGACCATATGTGTGTAAGTAATTTAAGGCTGTTTATCTCATGTGTGCATTGGTAGAACAGGTGTAAGTTTTATGAATTGTATAGCTTAAAAGCAGGGCTTGGTACGAGACGCTCTGGTATGTTGTTATTTCACTTTTTTTCTAGTCTGTATCATGTTGCTGACATTGCCAACGGCATTGACACACAAGTACTTGGCACCGATGATTGCATCCAAGGATAGAAAATCCGGAACAACAACTCGCATCGCCCTTGATAGCGCTTAAAGAAGGCGCTTGCGGTTCTCTGGATGCTTGCTCGAATGCCGCACAGCTGCTGCACAAGGACACTTCAGGTTAACATACTACAAAATGTAAAATCATGACCGCACTCATAGCCCACGAATTGCGGTAGAATGAGCCGGGTACTTGCGGCGGCTAAAATCGGTTTGAGTCCAGATCTGTGGATGTGGTACCCGCGCTGCCACCATACAGGCGGGATCCAGATGTGCAGCCAAGGTCGGAGAATTAACATGTCGAAGAAACACCAAGACTATTGAAACAAGTGTAAAGCGTCAGCAGAATAACAAGATGGAAGAACAGAAACTTGCCGGTTAATAACATCGGGCCGTTGTCATCATGTTAGCCTTAGTTCACTCTGGCACCAAACGCGACGGCACCCACTTCTCTCATTCATTTCACCATGATCTTCCTCTAGATCCAAAAAAAAACATCCGTGTATGTCACCTCGACGCCTTTTTCGGACGTCAGGACTATTGAATCCATGAAAACTGACTAGTTCAAAGAGTCTTAACACCGCGCAGAAGCAAAGAAAAAAACCAAAAGGTAATCTCCGCCTCAGTGCATATACAATTTCTATAAAGCTCGCTAATAACCATGAAACAATTTGCTATGAGCAGGGAGCGTTTCATAAATCCTTCCCACAATCGACCCGCCCACGCTATACCCCGATAAGCCGGCGATGGATCCCATCTCCGCTGATTCCGGTTTAGTGCTTCGAGCGCGAACGTTTCATACCGGCGTTTGCACTACCAAACAGCTGTCATGTCATCGGTCGGCCTGTCAAAGCTGTTCATGCGAGTAGCTATAGCGCGCGCGATACTGCATGTAGTCATGCCGCCGTTTCGATTCCACTCTGCGGTTCACTTTATCCTGCCGAGACGGCAGGCTAAGCCTAAGCATGAGCTTGAACTGAGTCGAGGTACTGCTTATATGACACTCGAGTGCCTCTCGTTGTATTGTTTTGTTTCCATTGCTCACTGAGGTCATTCATTCATTCGTTCATTCCTTCGTTTCGTCCCAAGTAGACACTCATTTCACATTCTCTCTACAACCCACTTACAGCTGGTCTCTGTTTACTTTTGATTAAACAACATACTCAAGATTCTCAAGATGTTTGGAAAGGCTACTCTCATGAGCGCGCTGCTCAGCGCTGCCTCGGCTGGTAAGGCCAACAAAAAATGGGGAAACTCAAAGCCCATATACTGATCCGGTGTTACTAGAAATTGTCTGGGACGGTCGCTTCAACGACATGACCTCCAGCGCTGATCTGTCAAAATGGTCCTTCGCCAACCCCGTCGGTTCCTACCAATACTACATCCACGGTTCTGGCCCCGTGACCGACTACGTCAACCTCGACCCTTCGTTCAAGAACCCCGCCGACAAGGCCTCCAAGCAAGGTGCCAAGATCACCATTGACGAGACGTCCAAGTGGAATGGCCAGACCATGCTGCGCACTGAGCTCATCCCCCAGACCAAGGCGGCCATCAACCAGGGCAAGAAGTTCTACCACTTCTCCATCAAGACCTCGACCGAGAACAAGCCCACAGCCACCAATGAGCACCAAATCGCCTTCTTCGAGTCCCACTTCACGGAGCTCAAGTACGGCGCCTCGGGCTCCGCAAACACCAAGCTCCAGTGGCACGTTGGCGGCGTCTCCAAGTGGGACGTCGAACTCAAGCCCGACGAGTGGCACAACGTCGCCTACGAGATTGACTTCTCCGGCGGCTCCGTCACCTTCTGGCACTCCACCGGCAGCGACGACCTCAAGAAGACTGCTGGCCCATTCACCGCTAGCACCCAGTCCAACGGCGCTGACTTCCACATCGGTACCCTGAGACTGCCGGGCGCCGCCGACGCTGCTGGTGCCGAGGACTGGTTCTTCAGCGGCGTGTATATTGAGGATGGAGAGCTGACTACCAAGATCGGTGATGGATCTGCTGCTGCACCTGACACACCTGTTGCTAAGCCTTCTTCTGCTGCTCCTGCTGCTACTCCTTCTCCTACTCCTGCTGCTACCAAGCCGGAGGGCCAGACCGGTGGACAGGCTCCCGCTGCTTCTCCCAGCGCCGCCCCATCTTCTTTCGCCACTTCTGTGATCTCCACCACTCCTACTCCTTCCGCTGCTCCTTCCGCTGCTCCTGCTCCTGCTGCCGGTGCTGGATCTGGCGCTGGTGCCGGTACTGGATCCGGCTCTGACGCTGTTCTCCCCAAGGAGTTCACCATCAAGGAGTTCGTCGCATGGCTCAGGGCTAAGCAGGGACAGAACTAAGCTAGCATGTTACGCGCAGCACGTGGAGCTCAATACCCCATCTTTCCTCTAGAACAGCACCCTATGTTCTCTGTAAATATTCTTGTAACGTTGTTTATAAAACCAAAACCATTCTTTTTGGCAGTGTCATTGTCCTTGCTCTCTCATCTAGCTACTGCCTCTCCGTGCACACTTCATACCCACTACAGCTTTACTACAGCTCGCTCCTATGTTTAAGACCTATCGCATTTTGTTCTCCACGCTCCTCATTCAGCGCAGCCACCATCTCGTTGCTCGCCTTCAAATGCTCAAATTTCGGCGCATCCTCACCCAATCCCCACGCAAACACGCCTCCCAGCCCTTTTTCCGTCATGATGATCTGCATCTTACGTTTGATAGCATCAGGTGTGTCCCAAGACCAAAACAGCCTCTCCTCCTCATCCCAGTAGTAGTGCCCACCACCTACCTCATCATACACACCCTTTTCCATGGCGCGGTTAAACGATGCAGATAGTTCTTGAGGAACGGTATCGTGCCAGGAAAACGCACCAGCTTTACCTAGATCAGCGCCTGTGACTGGGTCTTCCATGAGCTCTGTAGCGCATCCAATCGGATCGGTGCTGCAAGTAGAGTTTGCGGCTGTTTTGTACCACTTGATATAGAAAGCTAGTCCTAGATTTGCTTTTTCCGGCGGCACGCCGGCGGCGAGGTATGCGTCTATGGCTTCGAGGGAGAGTTGCAGGCCAGTATGGTGTTTGGTCACGTTGTCGCGGCGGTTAAACAAATCGTATGTCATGATGTTTAAGTAATCGACTGAGGCCATGATGCTGGGGATGGTGGAGGCTGTGAAGGCTAGCATGTCACGTGGGAGGCCGGGAACGGCTGCTGTGATGGCTTTGCTGGGGCCAACAGCAGCGCGGATCTCGGCGAGGAGTTTGGGGTAGGCTTTGATTTCCCAGGCTTTGTCGCTGTTGAGGTGGCCGGGTTGCTTGTAGTCTTCACCGTTGCCGCCTGCGTACTCCCAGTCTACGTCGATGCCTGCGTACAGTTAGCGGACACTTTCTCTTCAATTGCCGGGCTTTTCATACCATCTGCACCCGTCGTATCTAGCATGGCCCGAACATTCTTTGCAAAGAGCTTGCGGCTTTCTTCCGTCTTTGCTGCGGCTGAGAAGCCGTCGATGTCGCCCCATCCACCAATGGCAACTTGAATGATGGTTCCGTTGGCGAACTTGGGTCTGACTTCATCTATGGTAGTGAAGATCGGCCATTCGCTTTGCGTGGGGTTATTAAAAGTATCAGATCGCATGAAAGCGAGAGCCACTTCGGTCATGTTTTCGACCAAAGGCGACTCGGGCACGACATTGTGTTGTCTGGAAGCAGTCAGTTGCCTACGTTGAGACACAGAATCTCTCAGGAAGTAGTGTACCCGGTCAGATACATAATGTATCTCAGCTTCGATGTTTTTGCCGCGACACTTGCTAGAATTGAGCATAATACCAATAACAGGTGAAGCCATGATTGATTGCGGGCGGCCATTGTGAAGTGTCTGCTCGAGGAGACATTCCAGGTATAAGCGTCCAGATCGAGAGATAAAGAATGTCACATGACGAGCTCTTGGCATGCAAATAGCCGGGATCATAGAGAAGATCTGCTAGTTGGTATTCTTCCAGTTGACTGTTCCGCCCTATGAACTATTCTGCTATGGCTGATCAACAAAGTTGTCAACGTACTAGTGGCTCATTGCTACCCCGCCTCAACCGAATGCCTTGTCCCGCATCAGTCCGTATGCATACAAGACCCCGCCACATTCACCTTAGCGCGAGCAGTGCAGGACCAAACATGGGGTAGTCGCGACTTGCCGGTTTCCATACCTCGTCATTCGTAAGGCGGTGAGTAAGGCGAAAAAATAACGTGTATCGCGAGGGAGGAAAGATGGACAGTCTCAATGGTTTTCAGGCCGGATCTTCTACAAAAGCAGAAGAATAGACAAAGGGTTTTCTTTAGAAATTAGCTAGAATTTCCTTGGATTCAAAGCGTATTTTTACAAGCCCTGTCTAACGTCAGAAAGTCGACATATGGACCAAGAGCAGAGCAGACAGCCGATGAGGTCAAAGGATAGATTAGTAGTACTAGCATGTTTTCCCTTTGTATAGCTACAAACCTGTCAATATTAAATCGTATCCAACTAGTTACAGTATCTATGCTCAAGCTCCGTAAGTAAGCGATACGTCATAGCCGGATATTACATCGCACTGTAACCTGATCAGCCACCTTCCCCTCCTCAAAGTTCGGTAACCGAATAATACGGCACAGCGACATGAAACAGAAGTAGCATCCAACTAATTGCATACCCAGTCCCCTAGTTATAAAAGCCTCATACGATGTAGTAAAGCGATACGCTTCGTCACAGCTAAATCAATCAGTCACACCGGTCCAATTGTATTGCATCGGGAAGCGCCATTCCTAGTCGGAGCCCTGTATATCTATTCAGTGTGGAAGTAAGCCGGATATGGATATGAAGCGTTTGGAAAGATTGTAAGATAGAAAAGACTCGCTTCCATTTAAAAATGGGAATGTAAATATCAGCCTGATTAGAAAATTGCAGCTGCATCATCAACTCGCTCATAATATCTCCTGTAAAAAGTAAGTTGACAACTCGATTGTTTGAGTTCTATGTTAATAGCTACAAGGATGGCTACATACACGCTCTCAATCGTTGTGTGCGGGGAAGGCGACGATCCCAATAACCGTTGCCATTGGTCATTTGTGTTTCACCATGCCGGGGCAGACAGAGGCAATCTATTGCAGGTGTCGCTCATAGACCGTGATCGTCTATGGTACCAACTCGACCGACGCGATGGCGTAACTGTCCTCAGCCCAAGTTCCGAGGGCCGTTTCCAGGTCGTTACTATCTCCGCCACTCAATATGCGCAAGCCTATTCCATCATCAGCAAAGAGCCGGCCCCAAGGAACGGTAGAGACCGGTGTCAAGATTGGACAGTGAACTGTATCATTGCTCTCGAAGCTGAGGAACTGGTTCCTCCAGGGACTTCTGAGTGGGTCAGCGGACTTGTGGGGAAAACGGCAACAAACCTTGCACAATCTGTAGGGGGTAGATGAGTTGCCAATAGAAGATAGTAAAAGCGGATTCCCTTGAGGAAAAACACAGTGCTCGAGTGGCTCAAGATCCGCTGTATACTACAAGCTCCTTGTCAAGTTGCTCCAAAATTAAATACGCGGCCATGTCGATTTCCCCACTAAATACTAAATCAAGAGCTGCTTTCCATTCCTGATTTCTTGCTCTTGACCGTGCTTCGTAATATTCCCTGTCCTTGATGCTGTACCCTGACGAACCCCAATCGAGAATACCAGAAATCTTTCCATCCTTTACTAGAATATTATCACGGTGAAGGTCACCATGCGTAAAAACAATCGTGGGCTCGTTGAGGCTTTCGATCTTGTGTATCAAAGCATCATCTCTTTGGTCGGAGACCCCAGGCGGTCTTGACATTTGCAAGGCGTCCTTAAGCCCGGCGTTGTACTCACTCCGAGTTCTGTACGGACCATAATCGATCTTAGGTCCATTACGCATTGGAAAGTGCTTGAAGAAGATATCTTGGCAGGGTTGGTGACCCAGCGCACCGTAATAATCTTCTTGAAGAGTTCTCCACTCGTGGATGTAGCCTCGCAGGTGTTGAATTATGGAAGCCTGGGTATCTGGTGGCAGAGATGTCCATACCTCTGCCAAGGGCTGTCCCTCTACCTGCGACATCAATATGTACCCAGAGTCTCCTCTTTGGCCAACACGATCGACTCTAGGGACAGGTACGGACGTTCGTGAAGCCAAAAGGCGCATCGCTTCTGCTTCTAAGCTTTTTATGCCATAGCCGACCTTAAGGACTTGTTTCGTGTCAGGGAGGAAGATAATTCTAGGTCCAATCTTGTTCGGGAACTTGTCTACCGAGTTGTCAGGCAGCGATATCTCATCAGCAAAAAGCTGGAGCGGACTAGTATAGTGTTAGAACGGTTATGGTATGCATCTAGGATCATACTTGTAATCGAGAGAGTGCTCTGGCGGTTCCATGTGTCTTAGTGGTCGCTTGGAAGTTGAGAGGCGGACGAGTGGCGACATGTGCGGCTAATCCTTGTCAAAGCGCTGCCCGAATAGGTATCAAAAACGCAACCGCAAAACGCGCAGCCGAACAGACCCTGGGCAGGCTTAAGCACTAATAGTTAACATAATCCATTGGTACGAAGGCCAGCCCACCAAACCACGGTATCCCGCGAAAACACGAGATGCAGTTGCCACAGCGAGCTTTCCCCATGGAACAGCAATCTTCCAATATATCTATAAGAACCTATCATTAGCGACAGCTAAGACTGAGCTTCCAGTATAATTGGAGACCCTCGTAGCTCAGTGCATTTCCAGAACAGAGACTGAAGACTGACACTCTCCACTTTCACGTGCACACATTGGCCCAATGGGTGTAGCAACCATGTCATTCTCCAACATACTGTATGAGTTAATCACATACCTCACCGTCAAGCAACCTAATCTTCTACACTGGGTATGTCGCTGATTCTCGTCGTATGTCTGACTATCAATGAAGGGATTGTTAATGCGTCATGCCTTCAAGTAGAGGGTGACAAGATCATCTCTTCTAACCTGGACAAAATTCGTGAGGATCTTGTGAGTTCTAATAAATGTCATTTCAGCTGCGCGACTCCAAAACGGGGTGCTCAAACAAGCCACGCGCAGTGAGCCATAATAGGTACTACCAAAAGCTCTGTGTTACAACCTATCTTTGGATTAGCGCTCGAGGGTGACAACTTGGTAGACATGAGGCAAGCTGAGTGCACGGTACGTGATCGCAGCAGTGTTGCACAATGGAGCGTGAGAGTGTAAAGAACGATTGCGACGCAGTGTACTTTTCCTGTTGACTGGCCAAATACTGCGCACCAACGTCGCAACAGGCGTCGGTTCACAGCGGAAAGTCACGTGCGATCTCATGGTCAGTGCCTAGCCCCTGAACAATGCACACTAGCCGTTGGGAGCGGAGATTGCAGTATCTCAAACCAAAGATAGGTAAAAAGCAAATAATCATCAATTCTCACATATACATCTCACAAGATCACTTCGATACTCTTATATTCACATTCTACCATGGGCAGAGATATCAGCAGGGCAGATCTCAGTAGAGCGGATCTCAGACTCCACAACATTTACTACAAACCAAATGTCCACCAGGCCAATCATGCAGACACACAAAAAGCTTCCCGAAATTTGCCGGACCACGTGGATGCAGTACGTGAGGGACTTTTGTTTATGGAAGAGATGCTACCGGATGACTGCAAAAAGGTACTTGAGAAAGAGCAGGTTGCGTATGGCGATGTGTACATCGGTCCACGCTGGTGTCTTTGCCCCCCTGAAAAGGCTTTCGTTCATGTCAAACATCACGAGCGCATACAAGGCCAGTCAAAGTCGTTCGAAACCCTCAAAGATTGCGAAAACATTGCAGAGAGTGCACGAAAGATAGCGGGCGACTCGGCAGAGGAATGGATGACGTTTTGGAAGAGTAAAATATTCATACCATTCAGTGATGAGGCACTTCAGCAATCAGGATTCAGGTACGGTTTCCTCCTCTCCTTGGATGTAACTCATTCTGTATATCAACTTGATTGTCACAAACTGACATCTGGTAAGCTCCGCATTAGATGACTGGTTGGTGTAAGTTGCTGCCCCCTCGTTCTTCATCGAAAAAAACTAACATCCAGCCATAGCTCTGAAAATTTGTCATGGAGTAATTTTGACAACTTCGTGAAATCAAGTCTTTGGGCGCCCAAACGTGGACAGCCTAGGCCGGATTTGACGTACGGGTTTCCAATCCAGACTTCAACAACAAGCAGCATGAAAGGATTTGCGCGAGACGAGCTTGCTCAATCATTCTCACTTCAATCTTTGATGAAACTTGTAGAGCAGAGTATAGCGTGTGCGCCAACAACTAAGCTCAAGAAAGAAGCAATACTTTCTAGTGGGAAGAGATGGAAGAACTCCTCCCGACTGTGCTTTCCTTGGGCCATCGTGGAAGTCGAGAAAGATGTTCGAGATACCGATGACGTTGCTGAAGAAAGGTGTTTTCGCCGAGCAGCCAATGCCGCCTCTGCTGCTCTCGATCTCCAGGCACAATTATTCAACAAGGCCTCAGATAGCTGCTCTTTACAGTCGCCTCCTGTTATTGCCTTCACATGTGTCGGTCCTGTTGTGAAGGTTTGGCTTGCATACCAGGATAAGTCAAAAGAATTTGCAATCCCAATACAGGTCAGCGAAGCTCATCTCAATTCTTGCCTAACACTGACACTTAGTAGCGTATGGTCTGTATCTGGTCAACATCAATAGAATTGACGTGGGGAGTTGCATCATTGCGTGCTATCATCAGAAATATGCACACATGGTCCTCACGCCTTTTGAAGCCAAGACTGCAGATGGCCATCTCTCAAGTCGCTAAGAATGTTCACAAAAGTGGACACATCGATGCACAGAGTTCTGCAGACCTCGACGTACCCACGCCTAATACCAAGAAATTGGATATCAAGTCCGGAAGTACCCGGGAGAGTCCCCAAGTTATTCTCCAACCCCCTTTGCCTGGCCTATCTGGGTCAGACACCACCAATGGAGCGGATGTCCCAAAGGCACCTTCGTCCAAAACTCATAACGGGAACGCAAAATCGCCTAGTCTAAGACCCAGAACCCAGGAAAATACAAGCAGCCTTTTTAACAGTAAACCCAAGGATGAAACTCAGAAATCAGGACAGGTTGTACGAAGGCCAGAGATCAAGAAGAATGCCAAAGGTGGCGAGATATTTGGATTACCATGGCCAACGAAATATCACTTCAGCAGCGACAGCAGCAGCATAACTTCGATCTCATTGCCGAAACCCGCGACTGAGTCTCCATTCGATTCAGCACTTCATTCACAGCCCAAAGCATTGTTTCTTGGATTCGATCCCACCAACAGTAGTAAAGACCGATCTTCAAAGAAACCCAAACCACTAAAAAAGGTTGCTTCAAATACGACTACACCAAAGGATGTCGACAACAAGACTTTTTTGCCGGCAGTCAAAGGCACGGATGTTTACGATCTGGTGACTACATTTGAGTCGACAAAACTTGAAGTCATCGACGAGGACCCCACTCCGGCTCCGAGTGTGACACACTCAAGACCCGTAAAAAGACAACGATGACTATTCCCAACACTGGGCCATCACCTTGAATTTTTCTATATACTCGCTTGAGTAGCTAAAGCCAGCCGTTTACGAGCAGAAAAGATAGTTTTGTTTACTCTACTAGCCTAGCTATAAATAGCTTTGAGAGGGAAGCTAGCGGGACCAACGATGGATCTCCTAACCATCCGAAGCTAGGGCTGAACTGATGTTTGCAGTGGCCGTTCTGCATTCAGCCTTTACCACTATCCAGGCGCTTATTTCATCTAGGAGCAATTGATGTCATCGATCTTTTGCCAATAATAGAGCCGGCTATAATTGTAATTCAGATACCTTGAATACGAGAACCATTTCCACCTAATGTGCGGATGCACGAGGGAATATTCAGCAACCTAGAAAGTGCAAATATCTAGAGATACTTGTCGTGTGTAAAAGTTGTTCAAGGCATACTACCTTTATAATTAGACACTTGAAGATAGTTGTATGAATTGATAAAGATTTTCTCGAAGCCAGCAGACCGTGTTATTTACGAACGATCGGCATTAAAAACGCCGAATGTGGCCCGTGTTGAGATTTGAGGACAACTGCTCCTTTCTCCGTTGTTCTCTGTTCCTCCTCGCCATTATTGCGAGAGCACCATAGTGTTGCAACTGTTCTCGATAAAGGACCGCCCAATCCGATTCGATCGTATTGCGGGAGTTTGTTTCGCGCTATTTATGAATTAACACGCATTCAGAAGTGCGGGCAACCCTACTACTGAGGTTTGGGTACGGACACAGCCACGCCACTGCTAAGCACTAACCCCAGGTGACAACTTGTGATGATCAGAGTGGTACGGAAACAAGCCATGTCCATGAGCGTACCCAAATATGTACATAAACGCCTTCGTAACGTTATCTTCGACCGGCCATTTGAGGGCGCGATACGAACTTTAGTGGGGTGAAGCCATGGTATCACGATATGAAGCCTCAAAGAGCCATGATAATTCTATCAAAATGGCAGAGCCGATGCAATCATTAGCAAGCGAGACTTTTGCACTCAATCCGTTGAGCGGATTTCCAAAATACCCTGTGGTTTCTCAAACTTTGAAGAGCTCTTGCAGCGGTATCCCTCCAGGCTCATGACGGAAGTGGGTCATCGCTGACGCTTACTACTCAGTAATACGAGCGGCCGCGTGGAACAGATTTTGAATGACTTGAATTAATCTTCTGTTATAACCTTCAACTTTTCGCTGATACGATACTCGAGCAACAATGTTGATCAAAGATAGGATATGGATTGCTTACGTGTGCATAGCCATCGGCCTGTTCTATGCGGCATTTCTGGTGTTCAATAGTGGCAATGTACAGCACATCACTTCGGCGGACTGGCCACTGTTTGGAAGCAGCGATACAGCGCTTGGGAAGGAAGAAAGCGATTCTTCAAGTTCATCTCCGGAATGGAACGGCGCTACAACTTCACCGGCTTCTTCGCACGGCAATCCGACACTTGCGATTGCGACTTTCCTGACCGGCCAAGCCAACGACGACACCTACTTCAACTTGACCCGGATGCTTACGTATCAGCTATTGCAGGTCCCTGAGACGCGTATCCAAAACCCCGACATTGGCATTGTTGTCCTCTGCGGCACCAAGCTACCCGAATCGAAACGCGAGATCCTCCGCAAAGACGGCGCAACTGTCATTCCGCTCGAAGACGTGCCATTACCATCATGGATCCATACCTCCGAGCCGCGATGGTCCGAACAATTCACCAAGCTGCGCGTCTTCGAGCAAACACAGTACTCGCGCATCCTCTACATGGACGCCGACTACATGATCATGCACCGCATGGACGAAATCTTCCGCGAGCCCATCGTCACGCAGCTCACCCCCACACTCTTCATACGCGAGAAGGAAATCAAACAAGACGAGGGTCCACTACCTAAACAATGGCTCTTCGCCGGGCGCTCCGAGAACGGCGGACAAGGCGGCTTCGACCACTTCGTGCCACCCGTACAAACCAACTACGCCAACGGCGGCTTCTTCATGGTTGCGCCACAACAGGAAATGTACGACCACCTCATGGATGTGATGCAGATTGAGCGTCGCTTCCCCACAACCTTTATGGAACAGGACATGCTCAACTATGTTTTCCGGCGCGACGGGCCCATGCCGTGGCGCGAGCTGGATTGGAAGTGGAGTTCGAATTTCGCGAATCAGCGCGATGTCGATGGCGGGGTGCATGCGTTGCATGGCAAGTTTTGGGCTGAAGGACCGAATGTCGTGAGGAAGAAGTTTAAGGAGCTGGTGAGACTGATGGAGGAGCGGGATGCTAAGAAGGAGCAGGCGGGTGAGAGGTGAAGAGAGTTTTATGTGTGATACCCATGTTTTTAAGAAATGTTATAGTTAATAGTAGTAAGTATTGGTAGATATTAGATGCATGTATGTATGTTTAGCGATGTTTAGAAATGGGTTGTTGATGCGTTATAGATTGATTAAGATTCTATTATTTATTTTTTTGATTAAGACACGGGAAGTGGATTGAGACATAAGCAATATTGGCGTTCTGTTCCATGTGAGTTTTGGTCTTGGGAGGATATTATTTGGCAGGCTTGTGATTGGTGTGATTAACCTATCGATAGCCGTTCATTAATAGATGGGATCAATCTCATCCTGGTGAATTGATTCTAAAATGACGATCTTTCGTGGTGCCTAGAGACATATTCAGCATAGATGCAAATGCTCGTCTTGATACGACTTGGTACAACATCGGCACATGCATGCTTGTATCCCAATGTAGAGCACGTGACCTGGTGTTGAATTGATACGGACGCGGATGCGGGAACCCGATGCTCCGTCGGCAGCCGGCCCACGGGTTCGGTGAGTCTTGCTAGGCATCCGAGTGCTGACGTCCTCCTAGACCAGAGATACACGGCATAGAAACGTAGCCAAAGTCTTGCAGCACTTGGCACATGGTTTTTCCGTATAGATACATGTAGAACGAAGCAGAAGCGTTGTTCAAAGGCCAATGAACTACAGGAGCAGCTCGTGTCTAAGCGGCCGCGGCGTTAGCGGGGCTAACTGGGAATGATTATATCATGTAGCTGGTCCGAGCTTCCATGTCAAATGTGCAGCTCGCGCCGCGTCTGCCTTCAACCCCGGAATCCTCGCCGCCTTTGGACGTCTTGATCTGCCTCGACTCTGCCACACCAGAGTAAGGCAATCAGCACACTCACACGACCCAATCGATGCAGGTGCAACAACAACAGACGCCCTTTCTCCCCGCTGCACGGCTTGCGCATGGCTACCTGACGGCCTCGAGGCTTGACCGACAGCCATTATGCGGTAATCCTGAGGGTTGGGGCCCAATCAGCCCGATCCGATACGACTTCACGCCGTGTTTTCTCGATGTCTGGATAGCTGGCGTAGCCGTGTTTGGTGTTTTGGGAGGAGCCGGCGCGTTATGGTATCTATATAGGCATTGCTCACCGCAACCGGTGAAGCGCAACTGGCACTTTTACGCGAAATTGGTATGCTTCACATTTTGTCAATATCTACGTCATGTTTTTGTTTGACAGGTGCTGACACCCATCGTTCCAACAGACGACTATTGGAGCTCTTATTGGCACAACCGCTACTCAGGCAGCCCTTCAGATCGAATACTACAAACACGTCTGGGCAGGCGACTTTCGCTTCTGGACCACCGTCCTGACCATTCTCTCCCTCATTGTCATCTTCCACATCCAACATATCGAACATTGGAGATCGCGCAATCCAAACGGTGTCGTGCTTTTCTACTGGCTTCTCCTCCTCATCGCTTACGCCGTCAAGCTCCGCTCGCTCATTTCGCAACAAATCCACCGCGAACATGTGGCATACTTTGCAGTCTTCTGCACTAGTGTTGGACTGGCGGCCCTCTCCTTTGTCCTGGAATGGCTGGTGCCGAAGCGCATGAGCGATTATGATATGCTCGGGGATGAGGATGAATGTCCATACGAATACGCCGACATCTTCTCGGTCTTGACCTTTGGTTGGATGACACCGCTGATGAAGAGGGGTTACCAGACTTTCCTTACTCAGGATGATCTGTGGAATCTGCGAAAGCGCGACTCGACTCGGCACACTGCATCCACCTTTGAAAAGGCCTGGGAGTACGAGATGTCCAAGAAGCACCCATCGCTCTGGATTGCCCTGTTCCGTTCTTTCGGTGGTCCATACTTCCGAGGAGCCCTCATCAAGACTATAAGTGACGTTTTGAACTTTGTTCAGCCCCAGCTACTCAGGCTGCTCATTACCTTTGTGGCCTCATACCGCACTGAAAATCCCCAGCCTGTCATTCGTGGTGCTGCTATTGCGATTGCCATGTTCGCTGTGTCAGTCTCACAGACAGCCTGTCTCCATCAATACTTCCAACGCGCGTTCGAAACTGGCATGCGCATCAAGTCCTCTCTTACTGCTGCCATCTACGCAAAGTCGACCCGTCTGTCCAACGAAGGCCGAGCGGCGAAGTCTACTGGAGACATCGTCAACTATATGGCTGTGGACACACAGCGTCTTCAGGATCTCGCGCAGTACGGTCAGCAGCTATGGTCTGCTCCCTTCCAGATTGTGTTGTGCATGCTCTCGCTATATCAGTTGCTTGGTGTAAGCTGCTTCGCAGGAGTGGCTGCCATGTTCGTCATGATTCCCGTCAACGGAGTAATCGCACGATGGATGAAGACATTGCAGAAAGAGCAAATGAAGAACAAGGATTCGCGTACGAAGCTGATTTCGGAGATTCTCAACAACATGAAGTCTATCAAGCTCTACGCCTGGACTACCGCCTTCGCTAGCCGGTTGAACACCATCCGAAACGACCAAGAACTCAAGACCCTCCGTAAGATTGGCGCCACTCAGGCCTTCTCGACCTTCACGTGGTCTACTACTCCCTTCCTCGTGTCTTGCTCCACCTTCGGTGTTTTTGTCCTCACGCAAAACCGTGCCCTGACAACCGATATTGTATTCCCTGCGCTTACACTCTTCAACCTTCTTACCTTCCCGTTGGCTATTCTCCCCATGGTCATTACCGCCATTGTCGAGGCTAGCGTTGCGGTGAGTCGTATTACTGGCTTTTTGACTGCCGACGAGTTACAAGAGGATGCCGTTATCCGCGAGGATGCAGTGACTGAGTTGGGAGATGAGTCGGTCCGCATTCGTGATGCTAGCTTCACTTGGGACAAGAACGCTGAACGCCGGACTTTGCATGACATCAACTTTGCTGCGCACAAGGGCGAGCTCACGTGCATTGTTGGTCGCGTTGGTGCGGGCAAGTCTTCGCTTCTCCAAGCCGTACTTGGTGATTTGTGGAAGATTCATGGAGAGGTTGTGCTAAGGGGAAAGACAGCCTATGTACCTCAGTCGGCTTGGGTCATGAATGCGTCTGTCAGAGAGAACATTGTCTTCGGTCACCGTTGGGATCCTCAATTCTACGAGAAGACTGTTAACGCTTGTGCCTTACGCGATGACTTTGCATCTCTGCCTGATGGCGACCAGACCGAAGTTGGCGAACGCGGTATTTCCTTGTCCGGCGGACAAAAGGCTCGTCTCACCTTGGCTCGTGCTGTTTATGCCCGCGCAGATATCTACTTGCTTGACGATTGTCTATCGGCCGTCGATCAACATGTAGCAAGACATCTCATCAACAACGTGCTCGGACCTAAAGGGTTGCTCGCAGGGAAGACTAGAATTCTCGCGACCAACTCCATCCCCGTACTTATGGAAGCTGAAATGATCTTGCTGTTGCGTGAGGGTAGAATTCTTGAGAGGGGTAGCTACGGTCAACTGATGGCAATGAAGGGTGAAATTGCCCAACTAATCAAGACATCCCAGAACGAAGACCAAGGAGAAGATGATAGCACCCGTATGTCAGATAGCATCATGAGCGACGCCGAGAGCACCGTGTATGGTGGTACTCCCCCTGGTGAGGACGACGAGGAAGATCAAGCCGAAGCCGAAGCAGCTCAAGAAGGCGGTGCGCATCTTGCTCCTTTGAGAGTCGGAGGTGGCACAGCCCGCAAGTCAAGCTTCAACACCCTCCGTCGTGCCAGTACTGCAAGCTTCAAGGGACCTCGTGGTAAGGTTACTGATGAAGAGGGTGCGCCGTTGAAGAGCAAGCAAACAAAGGAATTCCAGGAGCAAGGCAAAGTCAAATGGTCCGTTTATGGCGAGTACGCAAAGACGAGTAATCTTGTAGCTGTCGGTATCTATCTGATGCTCCTTCTTGGGGCCCAGACCACTTCCATTGGTATGTTCAAAGGTCGCGAAGGGGCTGGAATCACTGGCGTCTCCGTTTGGTGCGGCATTGGATTGTCGCTTTCGCATTTTTTGCAGTTCAACGCTAACGCTGCGATACAGGTGCAAACGTGTGGCTCAAGCATTGGTCAGATGTCAATCAGCGGTATGGTGGAAACCCTGATGTGGGACGATATATCGGCATCTACTTCTCGTTTGGTGTAGGGTCAGCTGCACTCGTGGTAGTACAGACCCTCATTTTATGGATCTTCTGCTCGATTGAGGTGTGTATCTGCTTACTGGGCTAGCTTGGCTTGCGTTCACTGACACCCCGTGTAGGCTAGTCGTAAGCTACATGAGCGGATGGCTTTCGCGATATTCCGCTCGCCGATGAGCTTTTTCGAGACAACGCCTGCAGGACGCATCCTTAACCGCTTCTCAAGGTAAGTCGTCATTCTTACTAGGGACTGTCTCAGTGAATCGGCCTATGTTTCCCCATGAACTGTTCGTTGAAGGATTCCGCGGAGGACTCGTCTTCGGCTCTAGTGTATATGCCGACATTTGCTAACTTCACGAACCAGTGACATATACAGAGTAGACGAGGTGCTAGCGTAAGTCGCTTCCCATTCCCTAACGTACTTGCAGCAGGTTGTCTAACGTACGCTTGTAGCCGAACGTTCAACATGCTCTTCGTTAATTCTGCCCGAGGTATGCAGCCACCCCGCATCCAACCCGGTGTGTAACACTTGACTGACCGATGTAGCCGGGTTTACCCTTGTTGTTATCTCATGGTCAACACCAGCCTTCGTGGCTCTGATTTTGCCTCTTGGAGCGCTTTATCTCTACATTCAGCGATATTACCTACGCACATCCCGCGAGTTGAAGCGACTTGACAGTGTCAGCCGAAGCCCGATTTATGCACACTTCCAAGAGAGCTTGAGTGGCATGAGTACGATCCGCGCCTACGGCCAGCAGAAGCGTTTCGAGATGGAGAATGAATGGCGTGTCGACGCTAATCTACGCGCATACTACCCTTCCATCAGTGCCAATCGATGGCTTGCAGTTCGCCTGGAGTTTCTTGGTTCGGTTATCATCCTGGCTGCTGCGGGTTTCGCCATTATTTCCGTCTCGAGCCACAGCGGACTTGACGCTGGTTGGGTCGGTCTGGCCATGTCCTATGCGCTCCAGATTACACAAAGTCTCAACTGGATCGTCCGGCAGACCGTTGAGGTGGAGACCAACATTGTCTCTGTGGAACGTGTGCTTGAATATGCCGCATTGCCCAGCGAAGCGCCCGAAATTATCTCCAAGAATAGACCACCAATCAGCTGGCCAGCACAAGGCGCTGTTGCTTTCAACAACTACAGCACTAGGTACCGACCTGGTCTAGATCTTGTGCTGAAGAATGTCAACCTCTCCATCAAGCCAAAGGAAAAGATTGGTGTTGTTGGGCGTACTGGCGCTGGCAAGAGTTCACTTACCCTTGCGCTGTTCCGTATCATTGAACCCACAGAGGGCTTCGTAAGCATTGACAATCTCAACACAAGCACCATTGGACTCTTGGATCTTCGTCGACGTTTGGCTATCATCCCTCAAGATGCCGCGCTCTTTGAAGGCACTGTACGCGATAACCTGGACCCTGGGCATGTACACGATGATACCGAGCTTTGGAGCGTCCTAGGTATGTTCCTCTACACTCGATACAGATACAATAACTAACAATTATTCCAGAACATGCCCGCCTTAAGGACCACATTGCCTCGATGCCCGGTAAGCTGGACGCCACCGTCAACGAAGGCGGTTCCAACTTCTCTGCCGGCCAACGCCAACTCGTCTCGCTCGCCCGTGCACTGCTCACCCCCACTAACATCCTCGTCCTCGATGAAGCAACCGCCGCCGTCGATGTCGAAACAGACGCCATGCTCCAAAGCACCCTCCGCGCCCCTATGTTTAGCAACCGCACCATCATCACCATTGCGCACCGTATCAACACTATTCTTGACAGCGACCGCATTATCGTACTTGATAAGGGTGAAGTTAAGGAATTTGATTCCCCTGCTGAACTTGTGAAGAGTAAGGGATTGTTCTACGAACTTGTTAAGGAGGCGGGGCTGCTTAATGCGCTGGATATTTCACAGGCTTCGCTGTAAGGGATTTTAATTTATGAATGGTGTTTGGGAAGGAAGAGTGGACTGGGGATGATGTAGTATACTAGCATTAAAAAGGGAAAAAGAAAAGCTTGTATAATGGAATGAAAGGTGTAATTGTATGTACGTAGAATTCATATTCGCATTCCGCGGCGTATCCGTCTTTTGTTTTTCTATCGTTGACTGCATGCATGCATGCAACCTTGCTAACCGAACGTCATCCGCGGGGAGGCGGAAGCGGAAGCGGGAAAGAGAAAAAAAGACTCTTTGTTAGCTCCCTTCCTTCCTTCTATTTTTCACCTTGTCTTTTCTTCGCTTGATTTTTTGGTTTTTCCCGTTTCGTGCCGTGCCGTACCGTGCCGTACCGTTTTTTGTGGCTTGGTATGGGAGTTTAAAGTTGCCGTGGGGGGTTTTGGCGTGGGAGGTTTTGGCCGGAAAAAAAAGCAGAGTGTGTGTGTGGGGGGGGGGATGGAAAAGAGAGCGTCAGTAGAGTGATATTGGGATAGTTCTAATTTGAAGTGTGTGAGAAACTGAGCATGTTGATCTATTTTATTGTTTTGGTTCAAGATTCTAGACACGCTTTTTGGTGTGGGGTTAGGATCTTGATTCAATCGCGTTTTCTTTTTTGGGTATGCAGATAGGGTGTATGCGTTGGTGGAGATGGATTTTGCGATTCCTTATCTTGTGGATTTTTGCAAGAGGAAGGAGGGTCACATTGTGATGTAGGCAGTATGTTACGCTGATTTTTTTCTAATTTGAAAATGAAGATGGGGAAGAGTTCATGTATGTGATGTCCACATTTACCTACTTTGGGTCTGTTAGCGCTTGATTAAGGTGTACTAGTGGAGGTGTTGTCTCCTGTATTGAGTGTTGGTTTGCTTCTTTGGGCAGTAGAAATGGCGGTGGCAATGAATTGCTTCAAGCGTATGTTACAGTATATGTGTGCAGTGTTTTGTATGCTAGAACCAAATCGGAATCTCAGAGATGATTCGGATATCAGTGTTGAACTAGAGACATGCGTGTAATCTCGTTCCCTGTCCATGCTTCACGCAGACGTGGCGTAATCAGCACGTTTCATGGTCACAAAAATCCCGATGCAGCCTTGCCGACACAAAAGAGTCAGTCGGTGAGCGGAGGAATTGTGAATTGGGTGTGTTGTATCACATTGCATACACGAGGCTCTTTGCTCCTGACTCGGTTGTGTAACCTCGCGTGGGGGAGCGTTTCGCCTTCCGGTGGCTGCAGGGCGGGCACTGGATCCTTATTCCCCTTGAGGTAGAAGGAATGAAACGAATGGCTGGGGGAAGTGGATGTATATCCGAACGGGAATGCCATCCGTCGGCGGAACGGTTGCAGCCATGCCGCGCTGCTGGTGTGGGTGAACCCCTGTGACGGCTTGAAAGCCGTGGGATGATACATTGCATGATCTCCGCACCGCTAGTCCAGTATGCTCCCGTCACGGTAGGCGCCGCGTTCTAGAATTCCTATTACGGATAATCGTCATAGCTAGATTTTTTTTCGACTCGATTCGAAGTCATGTGGTATGAGCAGATAATTAGTTGTCCAACGTTCAGAGTGGAACAAGAGATAGGAAGGCGACATTTTACGGCATTCTTCAGCAGGTGATGTCTATATTAAAAACAGTAAGGTTTAGTGAGGTTAGTGAGGTTGCTTATGCATTATGTCTTGTGAGATGGATCGATCATGCTTCATGTCAGATTGGAAGCAGAATCTTCTGCCGGGCACCTGGTAAGCGGTCTCGCGGTACACTGGTATATGAGATCGAGCCAGATTTTTGGAAGATCGGTAATGACTCGTCGGGAATGAGATCTAGTAACAGATTGCTGAAAAATAATATTTGTTGGTGGGTAGACTTATGGACGGTATTGCAAAATCTTTCGGCGGTTGTGCCGCGTGCCCATTTGGACTTGCCCCTCAGGAATTCGGATGAACTGTATGTGTCTTAAACGGCAGTACAAGGGTGGCAGGTGACAGGCGAGGTGGTAATGCAAAAGTCCTCGGAGGTGCTGCTGCCTGTATCATACCAGGCACACTGATTGCCAGATGTAACTAGACCCTGCAAGAGTACTTCTTAATGGTTCGCGTGGGGGTATATATGGGATGTTAGTAGTAAAGAAAATAGAACTTGGATCAGAAGCAGTTCATGAGCAGGCTTTGTTCGAATGCTTCTTGGATAGAATATGGAAAAATTGTCCAAAGCTGTAAAAGGGAGTCAGCCTGAAGCACCAATTCCACATAACAGTCGGGCAGGATTCGAAGATCTGCATAGTGGGATTGAGCGATAACGGCCCCATGCGCGTCAACGTCGTTTATGCCGCCTTCTGTAAGTATCCTTGCGGTGAAAACGTCTAGGACCCTAGCATAGCCTATCGCTCGTCATTTTACCAGTTGGACTTGGGTAAACTTGCAGAAGACCCAAAAAAGCTTACAAGGTATGTCTAAGGATGTAGCCAGCGCGAAATGGCGTCTCCACAAGCTGTGGTGGAGAAGGACCTGTTGGCTGGAGCATCGTATAACTCTATGACTGTCATTGCTGATCAGGATGCTTCCGCGGATGCCGTTTTTAACATAATTCCTTGGTGTTTGCTGCCAGGGTTTGCGAAAAGACCTGCTTGAGAGGCCGCAGGGGCATATGGTTGGGATGATTCAATAGACCCGTGCCAGCTAGACATGGGCTACTAGAGGTCACAGTTAATAACATCGGTTCTATTGCTGTTGTCCCTCTCAAAATCCTGTTCGCTACCTTCTATCCTTGATACCGGAATTCTGTCCTAGTTTGCCACCAGAACAGTCCTCACAAGATCGGTCAGTATCGTGGCTAGTGCGTCACGCTCCTCCTTTTCCTTGACCGAGTTAGGCTGGCTGAACACGACTTCGAGTTCGCGTTGGTCAGACTTGAGAAGCGAAGAAGGGTACTGTTAGTTTGAAAGTTGGGAGATAGAGTAGATCTTGCTCCTTCAGGTAAGCACTGTTTGCACAGAGACCCAAGCGAAGTTTGCGAAGCCAGATACTATGTCCTGCAGGCTACCTGTGAGCCGCCTTGACCTCATCTGTTTTGTTCTCCTGTACTGGAAATAGGTTTTTGCTCACATATGGGTCATGTGTTGGATTGATATACACGCTCACCATGATTTAGACTCTTCGCAATTGCGGCGCTATCTTCGACTGCTTTCTGGCATATGCACATGTTGATGGGTTAAGTCTTGTTAGCTGCAGCTCAGTATATTATCCATGGCACGGTCACGATCCCGGCTCGTAAACCTACCGAACGACCAGCAACAAATACGGTCGAAGCGTGGCGCTGCAATGAAAGTGGACCAATATGGCGTTGACCCGTGGGCGAATGGTGGTGGTGGGGTTGCTCGAAGACCACGGGCAAGTGCATCTCTTTATATGTCCAGCTCGCTGGAATTGGCAAAAGCAAGGAGGACATGTGCTAACTTGTACAGGAAAAATCCTCGCATCACCCCGAAGCATCAGTGCCCATCAAGCAAGATGAATCACGAACCGAAATCGCGATACCTATTCCCATCGCGCAGACTTGCTGGAAGATCACCTCTCCAGATGGTCGTGAGCAGCTGTGCTACGAGCCCATTCCCGGCTTCGAGCACCTGTGGAGCGGTCCAGGGCCGTCGCAGAAAAACGATATCTGCTTCGATGCCTCGCCCAAAGCCGCTTCCTTACAGCTATGCCAGCCGACCATGGCCCAAGGACTAGGTAGGGCACCTACTGAACCCAGGACGCTGCCTAGTACACGAAAGAGAACTCGATCCAGTAGACGAAAGCTGCGTTCGCAGCCCATAGCTCAGAGCACAAGAGACGAGGAGGATGGGCAACTTGGTGAGGATGTCAAGATTACAACTGAGCAGACATATACCTTCTACATTGGTGACATTGATGAGTTGAAGAAATTCTTCCGCCGGAGACTTGATGAACTTACTATGAAGCCTCTGCGCCCTATTGTTACAGCTTGGATTAAGCAGATTGAGCCTAAGCGGTTAAGCCGTTACGGGCGATATCATAAACAGCTACCCAAAGACCAGCCCGAGGAATGCTCTCCACCCTGGTGGCCTCGAGACGTTAACTATGAAGAGCCATCACACCTTGATAAGGCGGGTAGGTAGCCACTCTGATTATGTATGGGCGGACAGCTAACGCTTCTTAGGGCTTTTGACGCTAGCAGTCGACATTATGCTTCAACACCGTCTCATTGACAAGGAAAAGCGCAAAGGTTCTTGGGTGGCGAAACTTCGGCAAGCAGCCCAGTATGCTGTCGAAACAACACCTCCTGAGCAATTCTCTTCATCTAAAGGATCCAACTTTAGTGAGAAGATGCAAAGTCGGGCCCTAGCAGAGATCCTGCCCAACTTGTTCGAGACTGCGCAGCTATACGAAGATCACTTTGCATGGCACGGCCACTACGAGGGCTCTGGTAAACCAGATCCTGGCAAAGGAAAGCGAGTGACCTGGCAACCGCTCACTAGGCCAGCTCGCGAGCCCGTGAATCCTAGAAAGCGCCCTCGAACAACCAACGAAGGCACAGCCCCTAGATCAGAAACCGACATCGAAGTTTCTGGAAACGAGACCGAGATAGACGACTGTATAACTTTGTCTTACCTGCGCGGCCAAGAATTGACTTCGGACCAACCTGAGAGATCTGATATCTTCAGGTCAAAGGAACCTCCCCAGCAGACACCTATCTCGGCCTGTGGAGATACAGCTGCTCCCCTCCATACATGCCCTTGTAGTACCACTACGACACCCAATGTTTCTTTTGGGCAACCGATGCATGGGCTTCCTCTGGGTGAGAAGATGGACCTAGACGTTGGGATGGCTGCTTGCACACCGCTCCATGATCACACCTACATTAATGGCGGCAATCTAATGCAGTACTCTGACAGCGACCCAGGGTACAATCAATGCTCGGTTGAGCTACAACAGGATGGTTGCCCCCTTTTCAGCGCGTCTCAATCCGGATTTTC